CCCCCAGGAAGCCCTCTCTGACCTCCTCCTCTCTCCTCCCCCTCCATCATGTCTGGCCAGAGAGCACCATACTTCTGTGGATGTTGGACTGTCCAAGGACCCAAGGTTCCAAAGCCAGGTGGAACTTGAAACTGGCTCTACCACAGAGGTACTATGTGGCCTCGGTAAAGGATACCACCATTCATCCACCAACCTGGAGGTGGCCTGGGCTCTTGTCTCTCCCTCTGACCTCTAACTCTTCAGCACATTCCTGGGCTTGACCTTCAAGGGCAGTCAGAACTGACCACCACGTCCCCCTGCACCAACACCTTGGTCTGGGGCCCCAGCACCTCTCCTGGATTAGTACTCCAGCCAGAGGGATCCTTTAAAACTCAGATCTCAGTTCTCCTCCGCTTAAACTCCTGCAAAGGCCCCATCTTACCTACAGTAAAGCCAAAGTCTTCCTGGCCTTACATGCTACCCTTGCCCCTCTGCCTGGACCCCAAGCATTGCCCCACTTCAGAGCCTTCGGCTTTGCTGTGCCCTCTAGCCAGAACACTCTTCCCAAATACCTTGCACCTCTGTTCTCTGTAGGTCTCTGCTCAGATGCCTCCTCCTCAAAGGGCCTTTTACTCAACATCCTACTCAATATTGCACCCTCTCTCACTCTTACCTTGTTTATTTTCTCCATGGCACTCATCACCCCCTGATGTGCAACACCTTACAGAGATTAGCAGTCCCCTCTTCTAGAGTATGAGTTCCATGAGGCCAAGGGCTTAGAATGGTTCACTGCTTTGGCCTCAGGGCCTAGATGGTTCCTGGCCCTGGTGAGTGCTCAGCAAATAGCCGCTGAAGCTCTCTGGGTGTTCTCTTGACTCCCAGGACAATAGTACTTGCCCCCAAGATTTATAGAAGTGATAGCTCTAACGCACAGTACAGCTACTCCTCAATATTTAGCTCTCCACTCTTCTTCCATCTGGGGGCTAGGTTGGCAGAGAGAAGGCCTGGAAACAAGCTGGGCCCAGTGACCTCGTCCAAGTCCCTCCCCTCTCCTGGCCACAGTTTCCTCTTTTGTACAATGCCCAGGAACAGCGGGGGATACCATGACTTCAACGCGCCCCCCCCCCCAAGCCCCAGGCTCCTCTGCCTGCTGGGGCTGGCACAGGTGCTCAGGGCACACAAACCATCCACAGTAGATACACAGACGGCTGACTGGCCTCACAAGACCTGGTAGCAGCCTGGGGACCTGATACCTTTCAGCCAAGGTAAAGTCTCCATCCTTCAAAGCTGGCACCTTCTTCAGAGGATTCACCTGGGCAAAAGCTTCGCTGTGGTGTTGGCCTGTGAGAGAGACCAGTGAGGCAGGTGAGGGGAATTCTGAGCCCCCTGAGGCCTCTGCCCAACTCTCACTCCAACATCCAGGCACCAGCTTTCTGAGGCCCCTATCCAGGTGGGCAACAGGAGAAAGATCACTCTGCTGGTCACCAGATCACAGAACTTGACCCCACCAGAGGTCCACCCTTCCTGAGTCCACACCCCTGGGAACCCAGGCCAAGCAGCATCTCAGCTTGCCCATGAAGGGAGGGACCCTCACCCCCAGCCAATTCCATTCATATGTCAGACACTCCACTCTCCTCCCTGGATTGTAGGCCTGCCCCTGCAATCCATCTATGCCAGCTGGGTGACCTGTCCACACTGCAGAGCTCCAGCCACACCTGCCCCCAGCCCTCAGGTCAACCCCACTCTCTCTGAGAGCTCCTGCCCACTTCATCACCCAGCCTCCAGCAGCTCAGCTCTTCTCTCTGTCCTGTGCCAAACCCTCAAGGCTCCTTCCCCAATGGAGGTTCATAGGTCTGACTCACTTCTACATTCCTTGAGCTGGGCCAGTGCTGGAGGGTACAACAATTATGGTTTGTGGAGTCAGAGGGCCTGTGTGGAACCAGGCTCCAGCCTGCCCATGCGCCCACCTAAGAGAATCACCCCTACCCATTCTCCCTCCAAAAAAGTGCCTCTGGGCAGCCTGGGTAGCTCAGTGGTTTAGCGCCGCCTTCAGCTCAGGGCATGATCCTGGAGACCCAGGATTGAGTCCCACATCGGGCTCCCTGCATGGAGCCTGCTTGTGCCTCTGCCTCTCTCTTTCTCTCTCTCTCTGTCTCTCTCTGTGGGTCTCTCATGAATAAATAAATAAAATCTTAAAAAAAAAAAATTGCCTCGTGCCCAGCCCCCATCCAAGAAGAGCTGGACAGGTGGAGCAAGGAGGCAGCAGTCGGTGGCCCTGGCTGGGGGCACCAAAGACAGGAGGTGGGCCGGCTCAGCCAAGAAGAGGTCTCCCTTCTGGTCTGCCCAAGGGTGGGCCTGCTGTCCCATTACAGCTCTGCCCCTCCCTTGGATCCTGTGAATGTGGAGGGGAGGTTGGTAGCCGTAGCTGTAGAAATTAAGAGGAGACCAGATCCAGGCGGAACAACTCTCATGCTGGCACCTGCAGAAATGCAAGAGCTGTGGGCTACTCCGACTCAGAAATGGAGAGGCGGTTTCCTTGCCTTCCCCAAGCCCGGGTGTGTAGGTATTGGGGGCACTCCTTCGCCTCCCCACGCCCTACCCCCCCCCCAAGCCCTCCACTGCTCTCTATCTGCTCTGCTCCCTCTTAACCTGTATCTTGAAAAATGTTTCGTATTCACTAGGCAAAGATCCGGGCTCTTGAAAAGGACACAAGCCATGGCTGATGACAGTTTCCGAACTGGGGGGTGTCGCAGCACTCGGGGGTCCCTGCGCACACGGGCGGCCCGGCCCACCTTTGAGCAGCTCCACGGGGCGCAGCTCGAAGGGGATGCCGTTCTTCTTGGCGAAGATGTAGACGGCGCGGCAGGGCTGGGACAGCAGGTCCAGGTACAGCTCCAGGCCCATGGCGGGGCGGCGGGGCGGCCCGGGGGTCGCACCTCGGGGACAAGACCCGGAACCCGAACGGCCGGCAGGAACCGCCAGGCACCGCGCCTACCGCGGGAGCGCCTCGGGGGTGGGGGGGGCGGGGAGGGGGAGGGGGAGGGGGCCGACCCCGCCGCGCCCTCTCGCCCATTGGATGGCTCCCGAGCGTTTGGGGCCGGTCAGCGGCGCGCCAGCTTTCCCTCCCTCGGCTGGAAGCCAGGGGGCAACTCTGGTGACCGGGAAGGCACTGGGAGCCTTGGCCCCAGACCCGAGGCTTGCTGCCAGGTCACACCCCTCCTCCCGACCTCAAGGTCTACCTTTGTCACACGGCGCAGTGGGGGGCGGTAAGGGGAACGGGCCGCCAAGGACGCTTCCAGCACAGACCTTCAGGGAATTTAGGATCCAAAGGGCTCGCTGCCTTCAGGGGGCCCAAGCCACCTCCCCAGATTCAGGGAGGGGACTGAGAGAGGAGGGGCTTCTGAGTCCCCAGGAACACAAAATGAGGCAAAGAACCGAGGTGCAGTAGGCCCCTGAGCCCAGTGCCCAGGATGGAGGCTGGGGAGGTTTCTGGACCCCAGCTCCCTGCAGACGCCACGCCCACACTCCAGGAAAGAATGAGCTTCCCCTCCCTAATCCCTGGGGTCATATTCCTTACACTCCAGCTAATCCCTCTAGTAAATGGCAGAAGCCCATGGGGCTAGAGGTTTGGGGGCGGGGGCTGAAACTTCCCCACTTCCTTGCAGGGCCAGGTTTCTCCAACTGATTTGTCAGGTTCCTGAGGTTTATGGCTATGAACCCCCATTCCCTAAGAGAGGCTCTCTCTTTGCCCCCAAAGCCAAGATTCAGAGAAAACCCTCAGCAAGATATTATTGGAAAATTTAAGAATAGTTTGGCCTTCCAGATCATTCAAGCTGATTTAAGTAAGGCCCACCATCCCCGGCTCACCCCCACCCCAGGAGACTGCTTTCCTGGGCTGATGCTGGAGCCCTCTCCCTCTCCATGATGGGAGGGGCCATGTTCTCCATCCTTTTGTTGTCCTGACCTCCTGCACAAATCACCTTTGGCAAGATTACTATAATATCCAATTCCCCTACTTCCTCTTTAGCCACCCACCAGTCCAACCAGCCCCCACACCACCCCCACCCCCCGCCCAGGCAGCCAGAATAATTTTTTTTTAATTTTATTTATTCATGAGAGACATAGAGAGAGAAAGAGGCAGAGACACAGGCAGAGAGAGAGAAGCAGGCTCCATGCAGGGAGCCAGATGTGAGACTCAATGCCGGGACTCCAGGATCAGGCCCTGGGCTGAAGGCAGACGCTCAACTGCTGAGCCACCAAGGCGCCCCAGAATATTATTTTAAAATACAATCTGGTGGGGTGTCTGCCAGTCTCAGTCAGTAGAGCATGCAACCCTTAATCTCAGTGTTAAGTGTTCAAGCCCCACAGTGGGTGTGAAGCCTACTTAAAATATAAACAAATAAATAAATGCCAACTGAGCACACTATGCCTGTTTATGGTTTACAGATCACAGGCATGGGCTTTAAGACTCTGCATGACTGATTCCCGACCAGGAGAGATGCTGTTTGGATTTGCCCCTCCTGACCCATTCCACAGAACAGGTGCAAGACCTGTGAGTTAAAGTACTTGGTGCCGGGATCCCTGGGTGGTGCAGCGGTTTGGCGCCTGCCTTTGGCCCAGGGCACGATCCTGGAGACCCAGGATCGAATCCCACGTCGGGCTCCCAGTGCATGGGGCCTGCTTCTCCCTCTGCCTGTGTCTCTGCCTCTCTCTCTGTGTCTCTCATGAATAAATAAATAAAATCTTAAAAAAAAAAAAAATAAAGTACTTGGTGCCAAAGAGCCATGCCCAGCCAACTGATTGATCACTATGCCAATAGTCACCACATATGGGATGCCTGCTGATCCCATGCTGTCTGACAAATCACTTTCTCCGAGAACTAGAAGAGTAGAGGGCATTTGTTAATTTTACTCTCAACCATCATGGGGAAGCTGACCCATAGGGCCTTGGAATGGGGGTTGTCTTTCAGATAGAGACCAAGGCAGGGGCCAAGACAGGTCAAATAAATCACACATCCAAGGTAGAAGCGCAGGCTCAGGCTAAGCCCAAGTTTATTTCCAAACTGAAATCAAAATGCAGTGATTAAAGGGGATAAGATTTGGCTGTTCCATTCTCATTGTGGCTTATAGGCAGCTGTGCAAGATGGTGTGGGTGTAGGGACCTGACCTGGGGAGCACAGGTGCAGTGGGACTCAGGCAAATCACTCCTGCCCGCAGAGCCTGACTCCCATGGGACATTGGAAATGAAGGTGCTTTGTGAGCTGTCAAGGGCAGAGCAGGGACAAGCCTTCCCGGCTCACTGGATCATGGCCAGCACCCTAGGCATCAGCTTCTGCTTAATGATCGGGTCTGCAGGTGGAGAGTCCTTGGCCTTCAGGATGACTTCATGGGCCTCCTGGAAGAGATCCTCCCCCACTGCTGCCTCCACACGCTGGCGCCATGCAGCCAGCTTGGGTCGGCCTTCAAAGACTTGGCAGCCAGCACCCACAGGCTGTACAGAGAAAGAGAACAGGATGGGAGTGGATGGGTAAAGTCAAGGATGGCAGCCTCTGCCTGTTGGGGGGGGGGGGGCAGAGCTCCAGGAAGTTTCCATATGTCATGGCCAGGTGGGGGCAGTGGGGGCAGCGTGAGCAGGGGTTCAACAACCCCCTGGAGCCCCCCCTCCCTAGCAGGCCCACCCTATCCATAGCACTCACATGCATCAGCTCAGTGATGGCTATCAGATCAGCCAGGGAGATGTGGGGCCCGGTGAGAAAGGCCTTGTTCTGGAGGAACTTGTCCTCAAGCAACTGCAGGGTTGCATCCAACTCAGCCAGTGTGGCTGCCAGCATCTCAGGAGACACTGGCTCACCCAGGAAAACAGGGAACATCACCTGGCAGGTGGGAAGGCAAAGAAGAGGGTTAGGGACCAACCCAGTCTCGGGGTCAGGAAAGCAAGTGTGCCTCCCCTGCCCCAGTTTGAGCTGCTTTCTGGTTCCATGTACCTTTCTTCCAAGGCTGGGCTAGGCCTGCAGGGAAATTCCCAAAGGACCACCTTTCACAGAAATATTCCTGCCTCTGTGATCTCTGATGGCTGAGCCTCAGGGACAGCTAACACAAGGACTCAGACCCCTTCGAAAATGACTGAGCTGACCTGAACAATGAGTTTTATACTTTGGAAGTAGGCAGCTAGCCTAAGGACAGTCTATGTTATAACCTCTTCCCCCTGAATATAAAGTCAGTACCTCTTAAATGTATAAGTAATTAGGAGGGTGAGCTTTTCAGGTTTCCACTCTGCCACTTACAAAGCCTGTGACCTAAAACAAAATACTCAAACCCTCTGAGCCTGAATTTCCTCATCTATAATATAGGAATAATAGTACATGACTCCTCTTGTAAATGGAAAAGTAGGGCCCAGAGAGGGACAGTCAGTTGCTTGAGATGGCACAGCCAAGAAAAGACTAAGTCAAGAACAGAACAGACATTTTTTGACAATGAACAACTACCAGACACTAAGGAGGAGGACCAGGAAAGAGTGGTATCTAGGATTCTGGGAGGAAGGTGTTTTAGGGGGAAGCCATCAACAGCCTCATGGTTGCTAGAGCTGTCTGGAACATGCAGTGGATGGGGAGCAAGGGAAGAAGGCTTCATGCTTTGTTTGGTAAAATTGCTTAGGGAAGCCTGGGATTTAGGTAAACAGGACTAGGATTATACATGAGCCCTGGCTTTGGGTTTCAATTTACTCCCCCATACAAGATAGAGTCAACAGTCTCCCACTGATGCCCTGGAGGCCATACCTGAGCTAATGACATTCCTTTGGCTACAGAGTTTTTAAAAATGTGGGTCAGGGGGTGCCTGGGTGGCTCAGTTGGTTAAGTGTCCAACTCTTGATTTCAGCTCAGGTCACTATTTCAGCATCGTGGGATTGAGCCCCGTGTCAGGCTCCACATTGGGCATGGAGTCTGCTTAAAATTCTCTCTCTCTCTCTCTCTCTCTTTCTCTCTCTCTCTCTCTCAGGCCACCTGGGTGGCTCAGTGGTTGAGAGTCTGCCTTTGGCTCAGGGTGTGATCCTAGGATCCGGGATCGAGTCCCACATCAGGCTCCCTGATGGAACCTGCTTCTCCCTCCGCCTATATCTCTGTCTCTCTCTCTCTGTGTTTCTCATGAATAAATAAAATAAATCATAAAAAAAAAGATTCTCTACTTTCTCAAAAAAATAAAAATAAAAATATGGATCAGTTGCTGACATTTAAAACTGCAGGCATTTCATGTAAGAGTCCAGACTCTCTTTTTCATGTAATGGGTGCTGGCCACAGGGTTTCCCTGCTCAGTATCTAAGGCTGATGTCGAGAAGGAGCCCCTCTTTAGGAGGGGCACAATGGGCTCTCAGTCTGCAGAACCCGACCTAGCCCTCCTCCCTCATTTCTTTTTTTTTTTTTTTTAAGATTTATTTATTTATTTATTCAGAGAGAGCGAGAGAGAGGCAGAGACAGAGACACAGGCAGAGGGAGAAGCAGGCTCCGTGCAGGAAGCCCGACGTGGGACTCGATCCGGAGTCTCCAGGATCACAGCCCGGGCTGCAGGCGGCGCTAAACCGCTGCGCCACGGGGGGCTGCCCTCCTCCTTCATTTCTTATCGGCCTCACCCCTGAAAGAGATTGTCTACATTTCCCTTCTGTTCTGATTTGGTTGATCCAAAATTCTTAGGGTTTTATTTTTTATATTTTTTACAGATTTTATTTAGTCATTCATGAGAGACAGAGGCAGAGACACAGGCAAAGGGAGAAGCAGGCTCCCTATAGAGAGCCCACTGTGGGACTCGATCCCAGGACCGAGTGGGATTTAGCCCCGTGTCAGGCTCCACATTGGGTGTGGGATGGAGGGCATGACCTGAGCTCAAGCCAAAGGCAGATGCTCAACCATTGAGCCCTCCAGGCATCCCACTAGTGATTATTCTATTGGTTACATGTTACTATAATTGTTTTTATTTTTTATTTATTTTATTTTTAAGATTTTATTTATTTATTCATGAGAGACACAGAGAGGCAGAGACATAGGGAGAAGCAGGCTCCCTGTGGGGAGCCTGATGCAGAACTCAGTCCCAGGACTCTGAGATCACCACCTGAAAAGGCAGACACTCAACCACTGAGCCACCCAGGTGCCCTAATTGTTTTATTTTTAATTATGGTAAGAAACATGTAACATAAAATTTCCCATCCTAAGCATTTTTAAGTGTACAGTTCCACAGCATTAAGTACATTCACACTGTTGTATAACCATCACCGCTGAGATAGCATAGAGAAAGCAAGAGGGACTTAGCTCCTGTAAAAGTCACGGGTGTAAGACAAGGGTTAAAAGTGTCCACAAGCTTAGAGACGAACATCTCCTTCTGGGAAAGAAAATGAATCAATGAGAGATAACAGCCATGGGGGAGTAATGGTTGTCTGAGCAAAATCAGAACTAACAATTTAAAGCCTACTTGCACAAGTATCTGTTTTCCAGGAGCCCTAAAAGAATGTTGACCATGAAGAAAAACATCCTGTGATTGTCTTGTGTCCACTAAAAACTGAAGCCTGCAAGATAATGACCATGGGATCGAAGGACACTTGCCCATTCCCAGCCCCTCACCCTTTGGAAAAGTGCCTTTATAAGTCTTGCAGCCTACGGAGAGGGTAGTGATATTCCTCTTTCTTGTCAGCCCCCTTTTATACAAGCTATCTCTAATAAACTCCACCTATTTTCTTTCTCTCAAGTTCAATGTTCATTTCTACGACATTGAGACTCAAGAACCTAGACTCAGGCATCAGGTAACACTGCCATCCATCTCCAGAACTCATTCATCATCCCACAATGAAAGTCCGTCCCCATTAAACAATAACATCCCACTCCCCCTCCTCGCCAACCCCTGGCAGCCATCCTTCTACTTTTTTGTCTTTTTTTTTTTTTAACATTTTATTTATTTATTTGACAGAGAGAGAGAGCACAAGTAGGCAGAGTGGCAGGCAGAGGAAGAGGGAAAAGCATACTCCCCACTGAGCGGGGAGTTTGATGCGGGACTTGATCCCAGGACCCTGAGATCATGATCTGAGCTGAAGACAGATGCTTAACTGACTGAGCCACCCAGGCACCCAACTTTTTTGTTTTTATGAACAGAACTGCTCTAGGGTTCTCATGTAACTGGAATCATACTGGTGCCTGGCTGGCTCAGAGGGAAAGTGTGTGACTCTTGATCTCAGGGTAATGAGTTGGAGACTCACATGGGTGTAGAGATTACTAAGAAAAATAAACTTAAAAAAGAAAAAACTATTAAAAAAAATTTTTTAGGGGTGCCTGGGTAGCTCAGTCAGTTAAGCGGCTGCCTTCTGCTCGGGTCATGATCCCTGAGCCTGAGCAGGGAACCCACTTCTCCTTGTCCCCTACTTGTGCTCTCTCTCTCTCTTGCTCTTTCTCTCAAATAAATAACATCTTTAAAAAAAAAAAATCTTACATTTCTTTGAGAGAGAGAGCATGCACATGAGCTGGGGAGGGGTAGAGGAAGAGAGACTCCCAAGCAGACACTGCACAGAGCGTGGAACCTGATGTGGGGTTCAATCTCACAACCTGAGATCACCACCTGAGCCAAAACCGAGAATCAGGTGCTTAACCAACTGTATCACCCAGCCACCCCAAAAAGTGATTTAAAAATCTTTTAAAAAATAAAATACATGAGAAGCCTGGGTGGCTCAGCGGTTGAGTGTCTGCCTTCGGCTTGGGGCATGATCCTGGAGTCCCCGGGTCAGGTCTTGCATCAGGCTCCCTGCATGGAGCCTGCTTCTCCCTCTGCCTGTGTCTCTGCCTCTCTCTCTGTGTCTCTCATGAATGAATAAATAAAATCTTTAAAAAATAAAATAAAATAATAAAATAAAATACGTGGCAGCCTGGGTGGCTCAGTGGTTTGGTGCTGCTTTCAGCCCAGGGTGTGATCCTGGAGACCCGGGATCGAGTCCCACGTCAGGCTCCCTGCATGGAGCCTGGTTCTCCCTCTGCCTGTGTCTCTGCCTCTTTCTGTGCCTCTCATGAATAAATGAATAAAATCTTAAAAAAAAAAAAAAAAAAGAATTTAGAAGAGGGCGCCTGGGTGGCTCAGTATCTGACTTTGGCTTAGGTCATGATCCCGGAGTCCTGGGATGGAGTCCCAAATTGGGCTCCCTGCAGGGAGCCTGCTTCTCCCTCTGCCTGTGTCTCTGCCTCTCTCTCTCTGCATCTCTCATGAATAAATAAATAAAAATATTTTTAAAATAATAATTAAGGGCAGCCCCGGTGGCCCAGCGGTTTAGCGCCGCCTTCAGCCCAGGGTTGTGATTCTGGAGACCCAGGATCGAGTCCCATGTTGGGATTCCTGCACGGAGTCTGTTTCTCCCTCTGCCTGTCTGTCTCTCTCTGTCATGAATAAATAAATGAAATCTTTAAAAATAATAATAATAATAATCAAATTAAAAATAAAAAGAAATGGGGGATCCCTGGGTGGCTCAGCGGTTTGGTGCCTGCCTTTGGCCCAGGGCACGATCCTGGAGTTCCGGGATCGAGTCCTGTGTCAGGCTCCCGGCATGCAGCCTGCTTCTCCCTCCTCCTGTGTCTCTGCCTCTCTCTCTCTCTCTCTCTCTCTCTCTCTCTCTCTGTCTATCATGGATAAAAATAAATAAATAAATCTTTAAATCACTTACAAAAAAATTTTTTAAAGAATAAAATAAAAAGAATTTAGAAGAAAAGATGGACCAAATGGGTAGATGAACCAAATCTGTTTAGATGGTGAATTTCAGCACAGAAGTGGAAACTTTAAAAAAGAACCAAATGGAAAAATAAAAAATAATAATAATAATAATAAAAAGAACCAAATGGAATATCTAGAACTAAAAAATACACATCTCAAATAAAGACTGTATTAGGTGGGTTTAATAGCAGCGTGGGCACAACAGAAGAAAGAATTAGCAGAGTCAAACCAAGTCAATAGAGACTATCCAAATGGAAAACAAGAGTGCAATGATGCTTTAGCCACTTTGGGGTGACGCCCTCACTCACTTCCCCCCCGCCAGCCCCCTCCTCAGGGCCTCACCTTATGCCACAGGGCCCGGAGGCAGTTTCTCCGCAGGGTTGTGTGCTGCCATGCCAGGTACTCATCCACACGGGCACAGGCCTGTAGATCCTGGGGGTACCAGTGGTCGGGGACTTTATACTTGCGGTTCAGGTAGAGCAGGATGGCCACGCTGCAGGGGAGGGATGATATGATGGGTGGAGGAAGGACACTGTGCTGGGGGCTTAGTCAGAGTCCCTTCTTTAGTTTTCCTGACAATGTGCAAAAGTATTTGCCTCATTTTCCAGATAAGAAAGCCAGGCTTAGGGCAGTGCAGGTGGCTCAGCAGTTTAGCGGCGCCCTGAGCCCAGGGCGTGATCCTGGAGACCTGGGATCAACTCCCACGTCGGGCTCCCGGCATGGAGCCTGCTTCTCCCTCTGCCTGTGTCTCTGCCTCTTTCTCTCTATGTGTCTCTCATGAATAAGTAAATAAAATCTTGAAAGAAAGAAAGGAAGAAAGGAAAAAAAAGAAAGAAGAAGGAAGGAAAGAAAGAAAGAAAGAAAGAAAGAAAGAAAGAAAGAAAGAAAGCAAGCCAGGCTTAGAACAGTTAAGGGACTAGCCCAGGGCACAGAGCCTTCGGTGGCAGGACCAAGAGTCTTTCTGAGGCTAATACCCAAGCTCATCCTACCATCGGGCAAAAGCCCACAGCAGAGCATCCTGCCAAGTGTTCAGAGACAGTCTCTGATTAGCGGGCCACAGGACTTCCTGGAGGAGACACCATCAAAGCTGAGCCTTAAAGCTCGGTTCTTTCCAATCTGCATCCATCCTCATCCTCTGGCATCCAGACTGGCCTCAGATGGCCTGATTGCTCAAAAAATCTTTCCTGTTATCCCTCTGCTCTCCCTAAAGCACCCTGTAGGAAACACTGGGGGTGCTGCAGGATCATGGAACAGCAGATCAGACCAGGTCCCTGGAGCTCTCCTCCTGCTCTAGGCTATGAGGGCTACGATGGTGTTGGGACAGGGATGGAGCTGGAAGGGCCCTGAGGATGCATGAATTTGGGGCCATAGGAAGGCTTTCAGGAACTTGGGGTACCCCCAGGGTTGCATACCCCAGCCAAAAGGCAGAAAACCTCTATTCCCTATCACAAATCCTGTACCCATGCCCCGGCTTACCAACTCACTTGTTGGCACAAGGTACCCTGGAGCTTTGTTCCTCCCAGCTAACTGATCAAACCACCTCTGGGGAGGGCTGCAAGTCCCTGGGAGTCACAGACCTCCTGACAGTGAGAAAAGACACAGGGAAATGCAGAAATTGAACAATGCCCCTGACAGGTACTATGGGTGCTCAAAACTGAGTGATACAAGGAGCCAGGACAGTAGAGAGCAGCAGAAAGGAAAAAATGGCACCGGCATCATACCAGGAATTCCTTGGGGATGCATCCACTTCACAATTCCAGAGATAAGTTCTAAAGCTTCAAGTTCTCCTTGTTATGGGAGCAGTGATTAGGTGACAAAAGGGGCAGAGTTGGGAAAAATTCTCTGGACTTGGAGCCACTGGGTGTCCCAGATGCCCATGGGCCATCTCGAGCCAGAGCACTGCCCCTGCCTTGCCCTGCACCCCTACCCTGGGGTACTCTCACCCACAGTCATAGGACTGGTGCAGAGGTAAAATAGATACTTATTTTTTCCCAAGCATCCCTGTGAACTGGATCAGGGGATAGTCAGGGACTGGGTTCCAGTCCTGACTCTCTGTGGGATGTTGGGCTAAGGGCTCTTCACCTCTGAGGATTTTCTTTTTTTGTCTCTAAAATTGTGGGTTAGGGGGCGCCTGGCCAGCTCAGTCAGTTAAGCAACCAAATTTGGTTTCAGCTCAGGTCACAATCTCAGGGTCCTGGGCTAGAACCCTGAATCGGGCTCTGTGCTCAGCTGGGAGTTTGCTTGTGGATTCTCTCTCCTTCTGCCCCTCACTCCACTCACCTGCTCTCTTTCTCTCTCATAAATAAATAAATAAATCTTGGAAAAATAAATAAATAAATAGAGGGTTAGGACAAGATGGTTCCAGCAAGTTTTTTTTTTTTAATTTTTATTTATTTATGATAGTCACAGAGAGAGAGAGAGAGAGAGGTGCAGAGACATAGGCAGAGGGAGAAGCAGGCTCCATGCACCGGGAGCCCGATGTGGGATTCGATCCTGGGTCTCCAGGATCGCGCCCTGGGCCAAAGGCAGGCGCCAAACCGCTGCGCCACCCAGGGATCCCGGTTCCAGCAAGTTCTGGTAGCAGCCCAAGGGCCCCAGTTACCTCTCTGTCAAGGTGAAGTCCCCGTCCCTCAAAGCAGGCACCTTCTTAAGGGGTTCACCTGGGCAAAGGCATCACTGAGGTGCTGACCTGCAGAGAAACCATCATGGTGGGAAAGGGAGGGAACACTGAGGCTGCATGGCCTGTGCCCACGCCCAACTATGCCCATCTCCCAGTTTCATGGCTCTTCTCCTGCCCCCAGCTGCTCTCCTGTGTGGCAGAGGCTGTGAGGGCCACTTTGGGAGGAGCAGGAGACTACTCTGCCTAATGTTGCAGAACGGGCCTCGACAGCCCATGCCCTGTCCCATTGGGCACAAGCTCCACCCACAGCCCAGTGTGCAGGATATGATGCTTCAGCCGGGCCTTCACACGCACCCACCCACCACCTCTGCACCATCCCCAGCCTCATAAGTTCATATTCAGGGGCCCCACGCTGCCAGAGCAGGGTGGCTAGTCCCCAAATGGAGCCCTGATTTCTTACAGTGCCCCTTTCCCTGCGGACTCTAGGGTAAGTTCCCCAAACACAGAGAAGTGGCTTTTTCCTGCCATCTATTTATTTGCAAAAACAACTTCTGGAATGCCTGGGTGGCTCAGTGGTTCATATTTAGCGTCTGCCTTTGGCTCAGGGCTTGATCCCAGGGTCCAGGAATCGAGTCCCACATTGGGCTTCCTGTGAAGAGCCTGCTTCTCCCTCTGCCTGTGTCTCTGCCTCTCTCTCTCTCTGTGTCTGTGTGTGTGTGTGTGTGTGTGTGTGTGTCTTGTAAATAAATAAATAACATTTAAAAAATAAAACAAAACCCAACTTCTATCAGTTCCTCTGTGTCCCCTTGTTCACCCTCCCCTGGCCACTGGGGACACAGAGCTGGCCCTGCCTTTAGGCTCTGCTGGAGCTGGAAGTCACGTTTTTTGTCCCACAGCCCCCCAAAAGGTGCAAGCCTCATGTTCCCTGGGACCCCGGCCTCTGCTTGAGTTTGTGTGGGTGGCTCCTACTCCTGCAGATGCAGTCAGAGAGAAGTTTCTGATGAGGACTTAAGCTCATTACCATCCTGCTCAACAGCTTTCATGGGCTCCCCGTTACCCCCAGGATCATGTGGAAACTCCTTGAAGCCATACATGATTGCCTTAACACCCTAGCTTCAAATACACCCACTATCCTCCCTTTTCCCTCTCTTCAGATTGTGCCTTCACCAGGCACACCTGCCCTCCTCTCCTAGTGAAACACCGCTTTCTGCATCCTTTATCTGATAGCCTGGCTGGGATGTTCCTTTGTCCCCATGCTCTCTCACCTGCACTCTGCAGAGATAACCCCTGGGCAGGACAAGTGGAAACTGCCCCCAAGAGGCGGGAAGAAGATGAGTCGGCAGGCAGACAGGCCAGTACACAGCCACAAAGGCAGGCAAGGGCCTCAACGTGGTGGGGAAGTGATAGTGGGGGGAAGTGACGGTGGGGGGAAGGCTCAGCCAAGTGGAGTTACTTGCCCACCGGACAGTACCTGGGCTCTGCTTCCCTCTTACCTCCCAACTGCCAGCTGTGTCCTCGGATCCTTGGGAGCCTGCCAGGGAAACAAGCCCTGCAGCTCAGAGTGCAGGGCTCACCAAGCTCCAGCCGTTCCCCCTCAAGCCCCCGGCCTACCCCCCCGGGGCCTCTCCCAGCAGGAACAAGAAGGCAGAGCACAAGGTAAAGCAGAGAAGGCAAAGCAGAAGAACGAGGGCCACAGAGAGAGTCCCCGGTGCAGACTGGACCGATGCGCACAGTGTAGCGCTGGAGAAGTCGCGACCCTGGTGACTGCAGCTGCCACTTCGGCAGTGGAGGCCACAAGGAGGGAATGGGCTCTGCCCCAGCCTATACACGGCCCCCTTACCCCCGCCTCCTGCCTCCATCTCTTTTCTGGAGGTCCTCTCTCCCTAAGTCCAGGTGCTCCCTGTTTTTGTAGACGAGGTCTGTCTTTTTCCTGAAGCTCCCACCCCTTTCCTCGGCCTCCTCCGAGCCGCACCGTCCACCCTGCTGGACCGAGCGGCGTTGGGGGACCCCCCGACGCTCGGATCTCCCCGACGACTCACCTTTTTCAGCACGGGCCCCAAGAAGGCGCTGGCGCCCAGCGTCCCCTTGGGCAGTATTTGGCCTCCCCGATCCCTCGGGTCCCAAACCCAGGCCGAGCCCACCTTTGCGCAGCTCCACGGGGCGCAGCTCGAAGGGGATGCCGTTCCTCTTGGCGAAGATGTAGACGGCGCGGCAGGGCTGGGACAGCAGGTCCAGGTACAGCTCCAGGCCCATGGCGGGGGCGGGGGCGGGGGCGGGGAGCGGCCGCGGGGACCCCGGGGACTCCAGCGACTCCGGCGGCCGCTGCGAGCCCGGGTCGTGGGCCACGCCCCGCTGGCCTCCGCTCCCCATTGGGTGGCTGCGGGGGGCGGCCCGGAGCTCAGGGCCCAGCGGCGGGGTGACGCCCCTCCCGGCTCCGGCAAGGGCGCAGTCCTTTGTCACTGGCTTATTTCACTTACCACGGTGTCTTCAAGGTCATCCACGCCGTCGCTGTCACTGTCGGATTTTCCTATCATCTCCATTTTAGGGATGTCTCGAAATTGAGGCAGGGAGTGACTATGCGCCGGGAAGTCTGGCCCCCGAGTCCGCGTCCTTAGCCGCGCTCTCCAGAGGTCGTGATGCCAGCAAGTGGCACAGCCTCGGGACTTCTGTTTAGCATTTTGGGCCAACTCACTCCGCTCAGATTGCTCTCCTTGTAATGTGGCAGCCTTCCTCTTCCTGCCCCTGCCAGGACCATGCCTCATATTCCCTGAATGTGTTTCTTTCCCTGCTCTGGGCCTCAGTTTCTCCATCTTTAGAATGACAGGGAGAGATCCAGCAATCCCCCTTCTGGGCATATGTTCGAAGAAAATGGAAACGGGATAGGAAAGAGATATTTGCACCTTCACGTTCATTGGTGCATTATTCACAATGGCCAAGACATGGAAACAACTAAGTGCCAGCAAGGGATGAACGAATAAAGAACATGTGGTGTTGAGCAGCCCGGGTGGCTCAGCGGTTGAGCGGCTGCCTTTGGCCCAGGGCTTGATCCTGGAGACCTGGGATCGAGTCCCACATCAGGCTCCTTGCATGGACCCTGCTTCTCCCTCTGCCTGTGTCTCTGCCTTTGTGTGTGTGTCTCTCATGAATAAATAAATAAAATCTTTATTAAAAAAAAGAACATGTGGTGTATATACCCAATGGAATACTATTCGGCCATGAGAAAGAAGGAAATCCTGTCATTTGTGACAACCTAAGTGGACCCTGTGGGCATAATGCTGAGTAAGGTAAGTCCAGCAGAAAGACACGGTGTAATCACACTATTTGTGAAATCTAAAAAAAGCCAAACTCCTAGAAACAAAGTAGAATGGTGACTACCAGGGGCTGGGAGGTGGGGAAACTGGAAGGATGTGTAAGGGTATAAACTTGCAACTAGAAGATGGATAAGTTGTGAAGATCTATCACAACATAAGGATTATTAGTCAACAACATTAATTGTCAACAATATGGTCAACGACTGTAAGAGGATTTCAAAGTTGCTAAGAGAATAGATATTGGTTATTCTCCCTACAAAAAAGAAATGATAATTCGGTGAGGTAATAGAGGTGTTAGCTCTTATTATAATCTACAAATGTATCAGATCAGCCCGTTGTACACTTTAAACTTCCACATTGTTATGTCAATTATATCTCAATAGTAAATAGATAGGTAGATAGTTAGATAATATGATGGAGAGGCTAGAGACTTACAGGGCCCTCTTGCAAGTCACCACCCCTGGACTCATCTGCTGAGCCTCTCAGGCCTGTTCCTCACTACCCAGAAATCCCCCAGAGCATGCCTATGCCACCTAGTCAAATGGTGTCTATGTCATTTCCTAACACAAGTACAACTGAAAATGCATCTGCAGGAACATAGCGTTTTCTACGCAGTAAGGAAGATTTTTGCAAAGAAAGTAAATATTGGTAATAATGATTTTTGACTGAAAAAAAATTTAAGGCTCAGTCTCAATCTTAGAGTCTCAAAACCTAATTTGGTCCATATTCCAGGATTAATCTTTTTCTTAGGATCTGACTCATATAACCCAACTCACGAGAGACTGATGGATTTATTATTTTATAGAAAAAGAGATAAAGGCCATTTAGACAGAACGTTCCCAACCAATGCTCAGACCATTCTCAAAGTGCAGGCTCCCAGAGAGCCTGGAAGGGCAGAGTAAGAAAGCAAAAGCCAGACCACGAGCAAGGCACCTGTCACTCCAGGACAATGACCCACAATGCCAAAATGGTTACTACAAGAAGTGGTGGATATGTTACTTGACTCGATTGTGGCATTCATTCCACGAAGTAAATGTATATCAAAACCTCACACTGTACACTTAAAATAGGCGCAATCTTTATTTGTCAATTATTTCTCAATAAAGCTAGGAAAATAAACAAAGAAACCCAGGAGTGGGGTAGGATTGCACTGTCACCACCCTATCAGATCATTTGGGTTTCCCACATAGCTCCTGAGGAGGGTACTCGGTCTGGTCTGTCCCTCTGGTGACAGTGAACATCCTTTTATGTTCCTGATGTGGGAAGAGGGGCAGTTTTCAGTCTTTTACCACAAAGTATGATGTTAGCTATGAGTTTTCCATAGATGCCCTTTATCCTATTGCCTTTTTTTTGTTTTTAAGATTTTATTTATTTATTCATGAGAGACACAGAGAGGGGCAGAGACACAGGCAGAAGGAGAAGCAGGCTCCATGCAGAGAGTCCTATGGGGGACTCGATCCCGAAACTCCAGGATCACACCCTGAGCCATCCAGGCATCCCAGTATCCTATTGCCCTTTATCCTATTCTTTGTTTGTTGAGTAATGTTATCCTGAAAGGATGTTGGATTTCATCAAATGCTTTTCTTGATTTCATCAAATGATTTTTTTTTATTACATCTATTAAGATAGTCATGGGATTTTTCTTTTTATTCTATTAGTATGGTATGTTATACTGGTTGATTTTCCTATGTTGAACCACCCTTGCACTCCTGGTCATTGTATGTTATCCGTTTATTTTTTTTAAGATTTTATTTATTCATGAGAGACACACAGAGAGAAGCAGAGACACAGGCAGAGGGAGAAGTAGGCTCCCTGCAGGGAGCCTGATGTGGGACTCAATCCTGGGACCCCAGAATCACGCCCTGAGCCAAAGGCAGACACTCAACTGCTGAGCCACCAAGGCATCCCCACTCTAGTCTTTATTATTCCTTTCTACTGTTGGTTTCAGGTTTAGTTTGTTCTTCTTTTTCTAGTTCCTTAAGGTATAATGTTAGGTTATTGATTTGAGATCGTTTTTCATGTACGTTTACAGTTATAAATTTCCCTTGTAGCACTGCTTCTGCTCTATCTCGTAAATTTTGTTATGTTGTGGTTTTGTTTTCATGTGTTAGAGGTATTCTCTAACTTCTCTATGGCTGTTTAACAATATATTGTTTAATTTCCAGGTATTTGTGAACTTTCTCGTTTTTCTTCAGTTATTTTCTAATTTCACTCCATTGTGTTCCAAGAACATACATGATATGACTTCGATCTGTTTAAATTCAATGAGATTTATTTTGTGACCTGACTGTGGAGGCCAAGAAAATTAAGGCCATTCCACCTCAAGTTTAGCATTAGCACAAGTACAGCCATCTTAGGCCCCTGTGAATAAGAGCTGAACTTTACAGAAAAAAACTGCAGAATGCCCTTGACAAGTAATCCCATATCACAAAGACAACAGAGCTCAGAATGCCCTCGGCAGGAAATCCCATATCAGATCTTAAGAAACTCCCCCACCCTGTCCCCCATATTGGAATGGAAAAAATTCCTCCACCCCTTCTGAAAATCCCCTAGACCAGCCCATAAAAAACCCAGCTGTAACCCACTTCGGGGTCCAAGTCCCTGCTCCGCTGTGTCGGGTATACTTGGACCCAAGCTCGAGCTTGTAAATAAACCCTCGTGTGTTTGCATTGGTGTCGGCTCCTGGGTGCTTTCTCGGATTCGCAATCTTGGGCACAACAGTGACATATGATCTATCCAGGAGAATATTACATGTGCACTTGAGAAGAATGTATATTCTGAGGCGCTTGGCTGGGATAATCCAAAAAGCATGCAACTCTTGATCTTGGGGTTGTGAGTTTGAGCTCCAGGTTGGGTGTGGAGATTACTAAAATAATAATAATAATAAATTTTAAAGAAAAAAAAAGGGCTACCTGGGTGGCTCAGCAATTGAGTGTTTGCCTTTGGCTCAGGTTGTGATCTGGGCATTCTGGGATGGAGTCCCACATCAGGCTCTCTGTAGGGGGCCTGCTTCTCCCTCTGCCTGTCTGCCTGTCTCATGAATAAATAAATAAAATCTTAAAAAAAAAAAAAAGAATGTGTATTCTGTGGTCATTGGGTGGAGGGTTCTGTGAATCTATCTGGTGAGTCCATTGGTTTAGAGCATCATTCGAGTCTATTTCCTCTATGACTTCTGCCTTGTTACATCCATTATTAAAAGTGGAGTATAGGGATCCCTGGGTGGCGCAGCGGTTTGGCGCCTGCCTTTGGCCCAGGGCACGATCCTGGAGACCCGGGATCGAATCCCGCATCGGGCTCCTGGTGCATGGAACCTGCTTCTCCCTCTGCCTGTGTCTCTGCCTCTCTCTCTCTCTCTGTGACTATCATAAATAAATAAAAAATTTAAAAAATAAATAAATAAAAGTGGAGTATATGGAATAGTATTCAGCCATTTTAAAAAAATGAAACCTTGCCCTTTGCAATGATGTGGATGGAACGAGAGGATATGCTAAGGGAAATCAGTCAATCAGAGAAAGAATTATCATGTGATCTCACTCATATGTGGAGTTTAAGAAGCAAAACAGAGGATCATAGGGGAAGAGAGGCAAAAATAAAACAAGATGAAATCAGAGAGGGAGACAAACCTTAAGAGACTCTAAATCATAGGAAACAAAGTGAGGATTGCTGGAGGGGAGGGAGTGGGGGCTGGGGTAACTGGGTAATGGGCATTAAGGAGGGCACGTGATGTGATGAGCACTGGGAGTTATATTAACACTGATGAATCATTGGCCTCTACCCCTGAAACAATAATACATTATATGCTAATTAATTGAATTTAAATAAAATTTAATTTTTTTTAAATAAATTGTTCTAGTAGTCACAAAAATAAAGCTACAAGAACAACTGTGATTCTGCTGTTTTAAACTTGTGAACATGGGGTGCCTGGGTGGCTTTGCTATCACAAGACCCTGAGCATATCTTAAATATACCAACCTAATGGGTATGGTGTGGAGTGATATTTATAATTTATTATAACTTTAATTTTCATTTTTCTATGTTTAATAAGCTTCAGGGTTTTTTTTTTTTTAAGATTTTATTTATTTGACAGAGAGAGAGAGGGAGAGCCAAAGAGCACAAGCAGGGCGAACAACAGAGGGAGAGGGAGAAGCAGACTCTTCACTGAGCAAGGAGCCTGATGTGAGGCTCGATCCCAGAACCCTGGGATCATGGCCTGAGCTGAAGGCAGACACTTAACCAGCTGAGCCACCCAGGCGCCCCAGTTTTAGGTTCTTTTAATGTGTTTTTGCTACTTGGTTCTCACCATCTGTGAACTGCCTATTCATATGTTTAGTCCATTTTTCTATGGAGTCGTGCTTTATTTTCTTAGTGACTGCATAACCTAACGGAAGGAGAGTTCATCCACCCAACGAGCACCAAAGCCAGCAAGGGCCCCACTGAGTGTTTGCAAGAAAGGAATAAAAAAGCTGTTTATGGGACTCCTGGGTGGCTCAGCAGTTGAGTGTCTGCCTTCAGCCCATGGCATGATTCTGGAGCCCAGGGATTGAGTCCCATATCAGGTTCCCTGAAAGGAGCCTGCTTCTCTCTCTGCCTATGTCTCTGTCTCTGTCTCTGTCTCTCTCTCTTTGTGTCTCTAATGAATAAATAAAATCTTGAAAAAGAGAAAGCTGTTTATTGGATTATTGCTAACCAGGAGAACAGAGAGCTAAGGCTCTAAAGACCCCAACTCCCTGAGAGTTTACAAACAGAGGATTCTCATTTCTTGCCTTTTCCATTTTTTTAACATTTATTTTTAAATGGGCACCATGCCCAGGGTGGGGCCCCGAATTCACCCCCCCTGAGATCAAGAGTTGCCTGCTCTATTGACTGAGCCAGCCAGCTGCAGCCGAGTGAGGACTTTAAAAGGGTATAAATTGGGACACCTGGGTGGCCCAGTGGTTGAGGTCTGTCTTTGACTCAGGTCATGATCTCGGGGGTCCTGGAATCCAGTCCTGCATCGGGCTCCCCACAGGGAGCCTGCTTTTCCCTCTGCCTCTGCCCCCCTCTCTCTCTGCCCCCCCCTCTTTCTGTGTCTCTCATGAATAAATAAAATCTTTTTTAAAAAAATATTTTATTTGAGAGAGTGAATGAGAGAAAGAGAGAGAGAGAGCATGAGCAGGGAGAGAGGCAGAGGAAGAGGAAGAAGCAGACTCTCTACTAAGCTGAGAGCATGATGCTATGCTGGGCTCTACCCCAGGACCCAGGAATCATGACCTGAGCAGAAGGCAGATGCTTAATTGACTGAGCCACCTAGGAACTCCTGGTCGAGTTTTTAAGAAGATTGTATTATTTATTTATTTGAAAGACAGAGCATGAGAGGGAGGAGGAGCAGAGGCAGAGGAACAGGCCGACTGCTGAGCCCAGATCCTGATGTGCTCAATCCTATGACACTGAGATCACCACCTGAGCTGAAACCGGGACTTGGACACCCGAACAACTGAGCTCACAGGCACCCTAACCCAGTTGATTTTTTTAAAAGATCTTTTATTTATTTGGGAGTGTGCAAACAAGTGTAGAGGGAGGAGGGGCAGAAGGGGAGGGAGAGGGAGAGAACCTCCAGCACTGCACTGACTGCAGAGCCCAATGTAGGGTTCAATCTCATGACCCTGAGATCATGACATGAGTTGGATGCTAACCAACTGATCCACCCAGGCACCCCCAATTGATCTTTTCTTTTTTATCTTTTTTTTTTTTTAAAGTAAGCTCTGTGCCCAATGTGGGGCTCAAACTTCCAACCCAGAGATCAAGAGCTGCATGCTCCACTGAACTGACTTAGCCAGCAAGGCTCCCTTTATCACTTTTTTAAAGATATTGATTGATTTACTGATTCATTCATTCATTCATGAAAGACACAGAGAGAGAGAGAGGCAGAGGGAGAAGCAGGCCCCATGCAGGGAGCCGGACATGGGACTCGATCCCGGGTCTCCAGGATCACACCCAGGGCTGAATGCAGGCACCAAACCACTGAGCCACCCAGGGATTCCCCGCCCTTAATCATATTTAACCTTTAGTTTTTAAACTTTCTTTGGAACCTGGGAGGACCCATGACCACCACACTCGCCCACACCAAACCCTATGCTCATACCAACTGTCCCAGACTCAGCAGCCATGGTGGTGATTGCAGTACTTTATTAGGCAAAGAAATGTAGTTGTTTTCAACATCTCCTCTAAGAAAGGAAGCTCAAAAGGGGTGAGCCAGCCAAGCCCTGCAGAAGTTCTGCTTCTATCTGAACTTCTGCAGCAACTCGCAGATCTTCTCCTTGACCATCGGATCCAGTGTTGAACAGTCCCACTCTGCCAACTTCATCAGCCGGTCATGGGCCTCCCAGAAGAGGCCAGAGCCAATGGCCAGCTCCACCCTCATGCGCCACTCAGCTAACCTGGAGCTATTGAGGAAGACGTTATAGTTGCCTCCCATGGGCTATAGATAGATGAAGAAGAAGGAGTAGTCAGGCAGAAGGAGGGAGAGGGGGACCAGCCCTACCTATAGGTCCCCTCCTATAGCCTCAGGGGCTCTCCTAATCTGCCTCTACCAAGAGTGAGTCTGTGACCCACCCTACTCCCTGGCCTGGGCAAGGGGTCAGACATTATGTGATAGATGTGGGGTGGGGACTGGAAGATCAGAACCTCCAGGATTCTTGGCCACTGGTCTTGCTCCAAGGCTCCTAAATCCCTCTCTGAGGTGACACCTGGCCCAGATGGCTCCCACTTCAGCATGAAACCGTCCATGGGTCCTGCCTTCTACTGGGAAATCCCTTATTTTCAGATGAAGGTGCAACGAATTCAGTTCTTTTTCCTCCACATTGAACCTTCCTCTGTAATCGGCTCAGGCCCTAGAGTGGGTGACCCAGCAGGTAGTCTAAGAAACATGCACCCAAAAAGCTTGGGGCCCCCGAAATGGGGTGGGTATGGGTGAAATATAAGGGTTAGGGGTGAAATATAGGGGACTACACCACTTGGGCCAGAAACACTGGTTTTTCCTGGTGATGGTCTGCATTAAAATGGACACTTTGCATACTGGCCACAGATTACGTTGGCCTTTCAAGACATTGGCCAGAGTCTGAACTGGCCATCTCGCACACCAGCCAGGTCAGAAATGGCCACCCTCCTCTGTGTGTAGAAACCACATAAATGCCCACACCTGGGTGTGCCCCCAAACACACAGTGGATGCCCCTCAGACTCAGAGCTGTGTCTGGAGCTCTAGAAAAGAAGCACTCAGCTGGAAGGACACTTTGATGGCCTCTGTACGCTTCCTAGAGACTCCAGACACTGGAGACTTCGCCAGCCTATAATCAAAGCATGGCCCCAATGGTTGCAGAGGAATCTCACTTGTGCCCAGGCTCTGCCCATCACCCCACCCCACTCCACACCTGCATCATCTCCACCAGGGCCACCAGGTCAGCCAGTGAGATGTGATCCCCGGTGATGAACATCTTGTCCTGCAGAAACTTCTCCTCAAAGAGCTGCATGTTTGTCCTCACCTCTGTCAACATCTGCTCTGTCTTCTCGGCTGGAACCTCCTCACCTGTGATCCTTGGGATCAGCATCTGGCCAGGGTGGGGGACGGGAGGGAAGAGGAGGCTGCACTCTAATAATCCCATCTGAACCTCCGCTCTTCAGCACCCTTGTCTGCTGGAGAGGTGTTGGACAGAACCAAGGATGGAAAGTAGGTTCATCTCTTTTAGTGATTCTGGTTGGTAGAAGTCACCTGGGGCCACAATTCAGTGGGATTTTGAGATTCCTGCGGGGGCAGCCATGGTGGCCCAGGGGTTTGGCACCACCTTCGACCCGGGGCCTGATCCTAGAGACTCGGGATCGAGTCCCATGTCGGGCTCCCTGCACAGAGCCTGCTCCTCCCCCTGCCTGTGTCTCTGCCTCTCTCTCTCTCTGTGTGTGTGTGTGTGTGTGTGTGTGTGTGTGTCTGTCATGAATAAATAAATAAAATATTAAAAAGAGAGAGAGAGAGATCACTGTGGGAAGGAATCCTGTAATTGGTTAGTGAGGTCTGTCTCAGGCATGAGATAAGCAGTAAGGGCACATACACCAGCTATGGGTCATCTTTAAATTTGGTGGTCTCTGTGGGCCCTTCAACTCTGATGTTTTCTAAGTCAGTGAAATTTCTTGAATCCTATTCTGGCTTGAGTAATACCAACCTCTCCTGGGTGCCCTTCCCCTTGTTTTTACAAGGCTTTTTCATACCCAGTGGTTCATTCTACACTCCCATCAGCTCTAGAAATCTAGGCAGGCAGGAGACGGAGCCAAGGAAATGAGAAATGAGGAAAGGAGGGAGATCTCCTTGAACTCCCCAGTGATCAGCCCTAGCCTGGACCCCACTCACCTTGATCCAGAGGATCCTGCTCATGGGCAGCTGAATGGCAGTGTGCTGCCAAGCCATGAATTCATCCACACGGGCGCGTGTGTGCAGGTCTGGTGGGTACCAGTGCGAGGGTGTGCTGTACTTGCGGCACAGGTAGAAAAGGATGGCCACACTGCAGAGAGAGAAAGTCGGGGGCACTGCTCTTGCCTTGCCCAATACTGTTACCCCACCACCCCAGTGTGGCCTGGGCCCAAGGCAGGACCTCCAACCAGAGATGGGCTCTGGGCACTGACATTTTTCTAGGGAAAGGATGAGCCCAAAGGATGCCAAGAAAAGCAGTCAGTCCACAGTCAGTAAGAGAAGAGAGAGAGACCGACAGGGTGAATGGGAGTTGCTAGATGGCATCAGAAAGGGCAGTCTAGGTAGTGGGAAACATGTACAGGAATTCAGGGATAAGAGGTAGCATGGCAGAGAAAAGAGAGTTGGGGGCAGCCCCGATGGCCCAGTGGTTTGGCGCCTGCCTTCAGCCCAGGGTGTGATCCTGGAGACCCAGGATCGAGTCCCACATCAGGCTCCCTGCATGGAGCCTGCTTCTCCCTCTGCCTGTGTCTCTGCCTCTCTCTCTGTGTGTGTCTCTCATGAATAGATAAATTAAAAAAAAAAATCTTAAAAAAAAAAAAAGAGGGATCCCTGGGTGGCGCAGCGGTTTGGCGCCTGCCTTTGGCCCAGGGCGCGATCCTGGAGACCCGGGATCAAATCCCACATCGGGCTTCCGGTGCATGGAGCCTGCTTCTCCCTCTGCCTGTGTCTCTGCCTCTCTCTCTCTCTCTCTCTCTCTCTCTCTCTCTCTGACTATCATAAATAAAATTAAAAAAAATTAAAAAAAAAAAAAAGAGAGAGTTGGTGGATGTGACCAAAAGAAGGATGGGGAGAATGGTCAGAAACAGCTAGAGATACTGTGGAGGCCACACAGGGAGGCCCTTGGTGATGCGGAAGGCTATGGACTTAACCCTCAAGGTTCTGGTTATATAAGCAGGGGGCTGAAAAAATCCACCTTGAATTTTAGAAATATCCCCTTGTCCTATAACTCTGTAGCAAGAAAACAAATAATCCAATCAAAAAAGGACAAAGAACTGGAGGAGACATTTTTTAAAGATGTCCAGATGGCCAGCAGACACATGAAAGGGTGCTCAACAACACTCATCAGCAGGAAAATGCAAATCAAAACCACAATGAGGGGACACCTGGGTGGCTCAGCAGTTAAGCGTCTGACTTCTGCTCAGGTTGTGATCCTGGGGTCCCAAGACAGTCCCACGTCGGGCTCCCTGCATGGAGCCTGCTTCTCCCTCTGCCTGTGTCTCTGCCTCTCTCTGTGTGTTTCTCATGAATAAATAAAATAAAATCTTAGAAAAAAACAAAACCACAATGAGATATCACCTGTGAGAATGGCTGTCATCAAAAGGACAAGAAATAACAAATGTTGGCAAGGATACGGAGAAAAGGGAACCCTTGTGCACTGCTGATGGGAATGCAAACTGGTGGAGCCACTGTGGAAAATAACATGGAGGTTTCTACATAGAACCACTATATGATCCAGCAATTCCATTTCTGGATATTTATCTGAAGGAAACAAAAGCACTGTAACAAAAAGATATCTGCACCCTCATGTTCACTGCCACATTATTTAGAATAGCCAAGGTATGGAAACACTTGTCTATCAGTGGATGAAAGAATAAAGAAAATGTGGTGTAAATATACAATGGAATATTATTCAACCATAAAGAAGAAGGAAATCCTGCCATTTGTAACAACATGGATGGACCTTGAGGGCATTATGCTAAGTGAAATAGGTCACACAGAGAAAGAAAAATACAGTGTGATCTCATGTATATGGGAATAAAAAAAAAACAGTCATAGATACAGAGAATACATTGGTGGTTGCAGGAGGCTGGGGGTGGCGGTGAAATGGGTGAAGGGAGTCAAAAGGTACAGATTGCAGCTATAAAATAAGTCACGGGGAAGTAATTGTGACCAAAGTCAATAATACTGTATTGTATATTTGAAAGTTGCTGAGAGAGTTGATCCTAAAGGTTCTTATCATAAGGGGGAAAAAAATCTACAACTATATGTGGTGATGGACGGCAACTAGAACTTACTGTGGTGATCATTTCACAATATATACATAAAGTGAGTCACTATGTTTTACACTTGAAACTAATATAAAGCTGTATGGCAATTACATATTAATTAAAAAAAAAATGGGATGCCTGGGTGGCTCAGCGGTTGAGCGTCTGCCTTTGACTCAGGGCATGATCCCGGATTCCTGGGATCGAGTCCTGCATCGGGCTCATTGCATGGAGCCTGCTTCTCCTCCCTCTGACTGTGCCTCTGCCTCTCTTCCTGTGTCTCTCATGAATAAATAAATAAAATCTGAAAGAAGAAAGAGAGAGAGAGAGAGAGAGAGAAAGAAAGAAAGAAAGAAAGAAAGAAGAAAGAAAGAAAGAGAAAGAAAGAAAGAAGAAAGAAAGAAAGAAAGAAAGAAAGAAAGAAAGAAAAAGAGAGAGAAAGAAAGAAGAAAGAAAGAAAGAAAGAAAGAAAGAAAGAAAGAAAGGAAGGAAGGAAGAAAGAAGAAAGAAAGAAAGAAACAGAGAGAGAAAGAAAGAAGAAAGAAAGAAAGATAGGAAGGAAGGAAGGAAGGAAGGAAGGAAGGAAGGAAGGAAGGAAGGAAAGAAAGAAAGAAAGAAAGAAAGAAAGAAAGAAAGAAAGAAAGAAACAGAGAGAGAAAGAAAGAAAGAAAGAAAGAAAGAGAAAGGAAGGAAGGAAGGAAGGAAGGAAGGAAGGAAGGAAGGAAGGAAGAAAGAAAGAGAGAGAAAGAAATAAAGAAAGAAAGAGAGAAAGAAAGAAAGAAAGAAAGAAAGAAAGAAAGAAAGAAAGAAAGGAAGAAAGGAAGGAAGAGAGAAAGAAAGAAAGAAAGAAAGAAAGAAAGAAAGAAAGAAAGAAAGAAAAAGAAAGAAAGAAAGACCGCTCTGGTAGTGGGTGGAGGGGTTCTGAGGAGAGCAGAGGCCACGGGGGTATGGGGAGGGTACAGACTGGAGGCACCATTTGGAGGAGACGGTCTTGCTCTTTGCTGGTGGGGGGCAGGAAAGGAGGAACTCAGGGTAGACACAGGTGTTTGAGGAATCTAGGATGTCTGGGGCCCTAGAGAGCCCTAAGCCAGAGTCTGAAATGACATCAAAGTCCAAGATGCAGGTGCCTGCCCCACCTACCCTGCGTACACACACCCCCCACCGCAGCCCCCAACACTGCCTGCACAGAGTCAGCAAGTGAGAAGGGAGCAAAGATGGATGGGGAAAAAGGAAGGGAGGGAGCAGGTTGGGAGGGAGGAGGGAGGCCCTAAAGGTCCACCTCTCTAAGAAGGGGGGAATTGTCAAGGAGGGAAATCCTAAATCTTAAACCATCTCAGTTCAACCCACAATAACCCTGTAAGATGGGTCCCTGTATGCTTACAATTGAGGAAACTGAAGCTGAGAAATATTACTCACTTACCAAAAACACACAGCCCATGAGTGACAGGATTGGGGTTTGACCCCAGCAGCCTGAGCCCGAGTCTGAGCCCAAGCCGGGGCACTGCTCTTAACCACCCAGTGTTGTGCACGACCTTGACCAGGACCAGGGGGTGGAGGGAATGGATGGAGTCAGGTCGGGAGGAGTGTGAATGGGCAGCAGAGGCAGGCAGAGGCTTGCCTCACTGGCCCAATGCCCCTCCCCAGTTTGCAACCTCTGGGAGCACTGTCCTTGGTGGTCAACCCCTGGGTCATGACTGCTCTGGGCAGACCTGTTGGTGGCTCCCAGTCCTGACTGGTTCCCCCAGGTTGTCTGTAGCTTGTGCCACTCTGAGCCCACAGCCCACTGCCACACTCTGTGTCTCTTTGTCCTGTGATTTGAGGTCCCCACTGCTCATTCTCTGGCATTAGCCTTCCCGGCTCCCACACCGGGAGCACCAGGGCCAAGTAGGGCCCATCCACACCTCTGTATTTGCAAATGCCTCCTGTCACCCCTCCTGCCACGGTAGCAGATCAGAGCTTGCTGTGCCTGCAGGAGCCCCATCTCCTGGGGACAGGTACCCCGGCTAGCATCGCAGTTCCTGGCCTTCTGTCTGCCTAGCACCTCCTCCCCAACTTTTCTCATGAGGACCTGCTCTGTCATCTTTAATCCAGTGATTCTGGCGAGGGTGACTGGCAGTCAGAGGCCCCAGTGTGCCCGCCAGTGAGTGGCCCACAGGCAGGAAGGGGACTCAGACTAGGCCCATGCATGCCCTTCTTTGGGAACTTCAGATACCCTGAGAAGGAGAGGCTGATCCTTTTCCAGACAGACAGACAGACAGACAGACAGGGAGATGGCCAAAGGAGAGATTCAGTACCAGATTCCTCTGGCTGAGGGGAGTGGGCGGTGAGGGTCACTGGAGAAGACCTATGAGGGAGGAGCGGATTTACCAGGCATGGAGAGCATATAGTTCCGAGATCCAGGCTGGGGAGCTAGGCCCACCAGGGTGAGAACACAGAGCCAAGAGAAGGCAGAGAGGAGGAGCCCTGGCACTGAGGTTGGGGCCTTGCTCTGGAGAGAACAGTGTGAGGGTGTGGTGGGACAGTCATTTGCTAAAGAGATAAGGGTGTGTGATTTGTGAATCCATGTGGCCAGTTCAGTAGGAACGGTGCCAGCTTGGACGGAGGGGGACAGAAATGAAGTGAAATGAAGGGGAGTGAAATGAAGGAAGGCTGCTGGGCTTCTGTGACAACGGCCGACAGAGCTATCCAACTGCAAACTTGGGTTAGCCTTCAAGAAAAGGGAAGTGGGGGCGGGCCTGGGTGGCTCAGCGATTGAGCATCTGCCTTTGGCTCAGGTCAGGATCCCAGGGTCCTGGGATGGAATCCTGTATCCAGCTCCCTGCAGGGAGCCTGCTTCTCCCTCTGCCTATGTCTCTCTCTCTGTGTGTGTGTGTTTCTCATGAATAAATAAATTGTCTTAAAAAAAAAAAAAAAAAAGAGGGATCCCTGGGTGGCGCAGCGGTTTGGCGCCTGCCTCTGGCCCAGGGCGCGATCCTGGAGACCCGGGATCGAATCCCACGTCGGGCTCCCGGTGCATGGAGCCTGCTTCTCCCTCTGCCTATGTCTCTGCCTCTCTCTCTCTCTCTCTGTGTGACTATCATAAATAAATAAAATAAAAAAAAAATTAAAAAAAAAAAGAAAAGAAAAGAAAAGAAAGAGAAGGGAAGAGTGACCCAGAAGGAGGTTCAGAGGCCAGTAGGGCTGCCCTGCCACCAGTGGGCCTGGAGTGGGGCAGTGCAGGTGGGAGTTGAGCTTCAGCCTCCCTGGTTCCAGAGTGTGGGGCCACCACCCTATGGGCCCAGGGGACAGAGCATGGAGCCAAAAGGATGATTCTCAAGGCTTAAAATCTAAAGTGATTTACCCTGCTGGGTTCCAGACTTGCTTGGAATGTATGAGATTCTCCCCCCTTCCTATTTCTCTGTTTGGGAATGGGAATATCCACCCTGTGCATGTTCCTCCATTGCATATATTTTTTTAAGATTTTATTTATTTATTTGACAGAAAGAGAGAGAGCACAAGCAGGAGGAGTGACAGAGGGAGAAGCAGGCTTCCCATCAAGCAGGGAACCGGACATGGGGCTTGATCCCTGGACTGCGGGATCAGGACTTGAGCAGAAGGCAGACACCCAACTGACTGAGCCACCGAGGTGCCCCTCCTTGTATTTTTTTATTATCATTTTCAAGTAATTTCTACAATACCCAACATGGGGCTTGAACTCAAGACCCTGAGATCAAGAGTCACATGCTTCACCACCTGAGTCAACACAGCACCCCTCCCCATAGTATTTTGGAAGCAGGACAACTTGTCCTCTGGTTTCAGAGGTTCACAGAGAGAGCGGAACTTTGCCCCAGGATGAATCATACCCTGGGAACGCCTGGGAGCTCAGCGGTTGAGGATCTGCCTTTGGCTCAGGACGTGGTCCCGGGGTCCTGGGATCAAGTCTCACATTGGGCTCCCTGCATAGAGCCTGCTTCTCCCTCTGCCTGTGTCTCTGCCTCTCTCTCTCTCTCTGTGTCTCTCATGAATAAATAAACAAAATTATTTAAAAAAAAAATCATGGGGATCCCTGGGTGGCTCAGCGGTTTAGCTCCTGCCTTTGGCCCAGAGCGCAATCCTGGAGTCCCGGGATCGAGTCCCATGTTGGGCTCCCTGCATGGGGCCTACTTTTCCCTCTACCTGTGTCTCTGCCTCTCTCTCTGTGCATCTGTCATGAATAAATAAATAAAATCTTTTAAAAATTATTTTTAAAAAATCATACCCTGAATCTCACCCATACATGATTTGGATAATGTAGATATTGGCATTTTGGGCTACAGGTTGATGCCAGAGTGATTAAGACTTTTGGAGGTGTTGGGATGAGTTGAATATATTTTGCATGTGGGAAGGACATGAATTTGGGGGACCCAGGGGACAGACTGTTATGGGTTGAATGGTGTCCCCCAAAGATGTGTTGAAATCCTAATGCCCAGGACCTCAGAATGTAGCCTGATTTGGAAACTGGGTCTTCACAGAGGTAATCAAGTTAAAATGAGGTCTTAGAGGGGTGCCTTGCTGACTTAGTCAGAAGAGCATGACTCTTGATCTCGGAATTGTGAGTTCAAGCCCCACTATTGAGTGTAGAGATTAATAAATAAAAGTAAAAATAAAATGTGGTCTTACAGTGGACCCTAATCCAATAGGACTCATGTTCTTATGGAAAGGGGAATTGGACACAGGGACACAGAAGGAAGGCAAGATGGCCATCTCCCAGGCAAGGAAAGCCTCAGGCTACCAGAACCTAAGACAGAGGCCTGGAACAAAACTTTCCCAGCTTCAGAGGGAGCACGGCCCTACTGACACCTCGATTATGACTTCTGGCCTCCAGAACTGTAAGACAATACATTTCTGGGGGATCCCTGGGTGGCTCAGTGGTTTAGCGCCTGCCTTCAGTCCAGGGTGTGGTCCTGGGGTCCTGGGATCAAGTCCCACATCAGGATCCCTGCGTGGAGCCTGCTTCTCCCTCTGCCTGTCTCTCTCTCTCTCTCTCTCTCTCTCTCTCTCTCTCTCTGTGTCTCTCATGAATAAATAAATAAAATCTTAAAAAAAAAAGACAATACATTTCTGTTGTTCTAAGTCATTCAGTCGGTGATAATTTGTGACCACAGCCCTAGGAAAATAATCCAGGCCCTGGGCCAGCCGAGGTCCTGTGGTCCACTTAGAAGACATACTTCAGAATTATGACATCGCCTCTGAAACAGTCTGAAAAACAGTCAACCTCAAATCTTACCAAACTTCTACTTCCAATGACCAATTTACAGGAAACGAAAGGACAGAAAAACCATGTAAACATGACACAATAAGAATACAATCGGCAAAAACTCAGATTGTGGGAAATTCCACAAGAGGAAGGACTCGGATTCTTCAACCACAGCAAAAATGCAAAGGCAAGGGGTGCCTGGCAGGTTCAGTTGGCTGAGCATGTCCCTCTTGATCTCAGGGTCCTGTAGGTGTGGAGACTATAAAAAAAATGCCACGGCAAGAGAGGCGAGTCAATGGAAGGGGCTATAGATGGAAAGAGATCCAAGAGACAGATCACTAGTTGCAATACTTGGCAGTTATTTGGAGTGGGATTGAAATGCACGAGCTACAAGCTATATATGAGATAGAGACTTTTTTTTTTGATAGAGACTTTTTTTATATAAATAATTTTCTTTTCTTTTTTAAAACATATTTTATTTATGTTTTTGACACAAAGAGAACATAAGCAGAGGAGCAGGAGAGGGAGAAGCAGTCTCCCTGCTGAGCAGGGAGCCCAATTCAGGGCTCAATCCCAGGACCCTGAGATCATGACCTGAGCTGAAGGCAAACACTTAACTGACTGAGCCACCCAGGGCCCCTAATCAAAGACTTTTGAATACGAACAAGATAATGCTTGAAATCCAGGCATTATTGTTAATTTTACAAGGTGTCATCATGGTATTGTGGTGATGCTTTTTTTTTTTAAGATTTTATTTATTTATTCATGAGAGACACAGAGAGACAGAGACACAGGCAGAGGGAGAAGCAGGCTCCATGCAGGGAGCCCGACATGGGACTCGATCCCAAGACCCCTGCGTCACGACCTGAGCCAAAGGCAGATGCACAACTACTGAGCCACCCAGGCATCACAATGATGCTTAAAAATATTTGTTTGTTTGTTTGTTTGTTTGTTTGTTTGTTTGTGAGAAAGTGTGTGCGAGCAGGCAGGGAGGGGCAGAGGGAGAGGGACAGCGAGAATCCCAAGCAGACTCCATACTAGTGCAGAGCCTGAGGTGGGACTCAATCTTACAACCTTGAGATTATGTTCTGAGCTAAAATCAAGAGGCAGACACTTAACCTACTGAGCCACCCAGGTGCCCCTGATGTTTGTTTGTTTGTCTGTTTGTTTGTTTGTTTGTTTTCAAAGAGCCCTTATCTCTTAAAAGTATTTTCCTAAACATTTATGGATGAAATGATGGGTGGTTGGCAGACAGGGGACCAATGTTGGAATTGGGTGATGGGTACCATGTGGAGTTTGTTATACTCCTCAATACTTAGTTTATTCTACTTTGGTATATATATATATTTTTTTTTCATAGTAAATAAAAAATAAGCACTAGCATGAATCTCCTAGGAGGAGCAGAGATAGATAGTGGGAGTGGGGACCTCTGGGGAAGATTTACCTTTCAGATAAGATAAATCTTCCATCTTTGAGGCTGGGTAGCTTCTTCAGGGGGTTGATCTCTATGTATTCCTTGCTGTGGTGGTGACCTGAGAGGAACAGGAAAGGTCTGAGGGTGCTGGGACTCCAGGGAAGAGAGAACCAGGTCTCCCAGAGGCAGAAATGCCTTCCTCCCTATTTTTTCTAGGAGGGAAAACAGTCCCAGAGGAATACCATGGCTAACTTCAGGTCCAAGGGCCAGTCAGTGACAAAACAGGGATTAGGATCAAGACTCCTGACCCCATCCCAGGCTCGGTGACCAGGACACCCCGTTGGCTCACAGAAGTCAGAGCCCTCCAGCCCCCACTCCCAGCTCTGGGCCTGAAGCCACAGCCCATGAATCAGCAGAACCCCTGGAGGCCCGGGTCCCACCCCCACTCCTATAGATCCCTCTAAAAGGGGCAAGGCAGCCAGGAGCCCCAGCCGCAGCACACAGCTGGAATCCAAAAGGGAACCTCTCAAGGGCAATCAGTCTATGGGGAGTTTTGTTTTATTGTTGTGCTTTGGGTTTTTATCTCCTCAAGGTCATTACTTTACTTTTTTAACATTTTAAAATTTAAATTCAATTAATTAATGTATTATGTATTATTAGTTTCAGAGGTAGAGGTCAGTGATTCATCAGTATTATATAACACCCAGTGCTCATCACATCACGGGCCTTCCTTAATGCCCATCACCCAGTTATCCCATCCTCCGCTGCCTGCCTCCCTTCCAGTGACCCTCAGTTTTGTTTCCTATGATTTAGAGTCTCTTACGGTTTGTCTCCTTCTCTGATTTCTTTTTTTTTTTTTAAGATTTTATTTATTTATTCATGAGAGACACAGAGAGAGAGAGAGGCAGAGACACAGACAGGGGGAGAAGCAGGCTCCATGCAGGGAGCCCGATGCGGTACTCGATCCCGGGACTCCAGGATCACGACCTGAGCCAAAGGCTGATGCACAACCCCTGAGCCACCCAGGCATCCCTCCCTCTCTGATTTCATCTTGTTTTTTTTTTTTTTCCTCTTTTCTTCTATGATCCTCTGTTTTGTTTTTGTTTTTTTTTTTTTCTGTTTTGTTTCTTAAATTCCACATATGAGTGAGATCATATGATACTTCTTTCTCTGATTGACTTATTTTGCTCAGCCTAATACCCTCTACTCCATCCATGTCATTGCAAATGGGAAGACTTCATTTTTTTGATAGCTGAGTGATATTCCATTGTATATATATAGCACATCTTTATCCTTCACCTGTTGACAGACATCTGTGCCCTTTCCATAGTTTGGCTATTGTGGACATTGCTGCTATATACATTGGGGTGCAGGTGGCCCTTCAGATCACTACATTTGTATCTTTGAGGTAAATACCTACTAGTAGAATTGCTGGGTCATAGAGTAGCTCAATTTTCAACTTTTTAAGGAAACTTGTTTTGTTTTAAGTAAGCTCTGCTCAACGTGGACTTGAACTCAGTTTTTCTTATTTTTCTTTTTTAAAGTAACCTCTCTGCTCAACATTAGCCTGAACTCACAACCCTGAGATCAAAAGTCCACACACTCTAGCAACTGAGCCAGCCAAGTGTCCCAATCTATTGGGAGTTTTAACCATTCTGCAGCCAGCTGCCTCCAGTTGGAAACATTTCTGGGGCTGGGTTCCCACCTCATTTCAGAGCACCTGGTCTCCTCCACTATGTTCTAGAGACTTCTGCTTCTGCAACCTGAGCCTTTACGAATCCCCTCCATGCTTGGGATAGCATTGGAGGCCAGCACCCTGCACCTCACTCAGGGTCTGTGTCACCCTGAGCAGGTATGGACCGAAGCAATGGTCTTGACTCAGGTTTGGATAACCACACACTTCTGCGACCTTTGTCAACTGATCAGAGGTGCTCCAGCTAACAAGATGTTACCCTCTCACGAGAAAAAGCCGAAGGCACTGGATGGGAGACCGGAGGACACTCGGCAGCTCTGCCTTCCACTTTACCTTATAAGAGTCTGTTCCTTCCCTTGGGAAACATTTCTTCCCCTGTGGACTTAAGGAGGTGGAGTCTCCTCTGCATCTCAGCTTAGAGACACCCTGACCTTGTGCCCTGCCCCCCTCCAGGGCCAGACCTACGCAGGGCAGCAGGAGGTGCCTACCTTTCAGCAGATCCACAAACTGGAAGTCAAAGGGGATGCTGTTCTTCTTGACAAAGATATAGACAGCACGGCAGGATGCTGACAGGAGGTCCAGATAGAGCTCCAGGCCCATGTTGAGACACACGTTGGGCACCCCCACCAGCTACAGCTGCCACACTCTGAACCTGGGCCTAGATGCAGCCTGAACCCCTGGCCCTGGCCCTGTGCCTATCAACCTTCTCCAACCCAAGCCCAGAACCCCACATTCTAGAACTTCTTGTTTCACTTGGTATTGTCATGGGGCCAGGAAGCCTGGAATTCTCACAGCAGCAAGGGTTCTGGGAAGACTCAGGAGTAGACTAGAGGGGCAGCCCGGGTGGCCCAGCGGTTTAGCACCGCCTTCAGCCCAGGGCCTGATCCTGGAGACCCTGGTTCAAGTCCAACTCGGGCTCTCTGCGTGGAGCCTGCTTCTTCCTCTGCCTGTGTCTCTTTCTCTCTGTGTTCCTTGTGAATAAATAAATAATTTTTTTTTTTTTTTAAAAAAGGAGTAGACTAGAGAGAGGTCCCTGGCTTAGGGACAGGAGGCATGGGCCACCTGCAGCCCTGCCCTACCCCTCCCTCTTGGTGCATGTGCATGCCTGTGGCCTGTGTAAGAAGGACTTACACATGGGAATTCTCAGGGCCAGAACTTCATTGCAGAAAGCAACCCAAGGGGCTCTGCAGGGTCCAGAATGAGGATGGGGCAATGAGAACCAACCACGGAGGGTTTCAGAAGTAGGGATTGGGGGTAGGTATAGGTCAGTCTAGCCTAGACTGTAGCAAGGAAAGCATTGAACAGGGGCCTGGGGAGCAGCCAGGGCACTGGGGACAATGCCACCAGGGTGCCAGGGGTTGGCCTGCCAGGCTATGCAGAGAAGCCCAGAAACTTCTGGCCTGGCTTGGCACTGGCAGTGGCCAGTGGAACTCAGCACCTGGCAACTCTGGAGGGTAACTGGACACTCGGGGAAGCCTGGGGGCTGCTCACTCTCGGCTGTGTCATCGCGGGAGATCTCTTGGCCCTCTAGATTCTGCTCAGAAGTGGGGCTAAATGAGGCTGGAGACAAGCAGAGGACACACAGCACGTTTATTGTGGGCAGGAGAGCACAGGGGAGCAGGCCCCGTTGTCGCATCCCTCTCAGCCGAGCCTCTCCAGCACCCGATGCACCAGCTCCTGGGCCAGCTTGGGGTCACGCTGGGCGTCTCGGGGGTCCCGAGGCTGTAGCACAAGACTGTGGGCCTCCTGGACGAGCTCAGGGCCCAGAGCTGCCTCCACTCGGGCTCGCCATGCTGCCAGCCGGGGCCAGTCTCGGAAGAGGTCACAGCCAACGGCAGTGGGCTGGGGAGACAGGGTAGCCGGAGCAGGGGGCTCAGCCCAGGACCCAGAGTCCCCCTCAGGGGGCAAGCAGGCAAGAGAGGCTCACCTGCATCAGCTCCGTGAATGCCATCAGATCTGCCAGGGAGACCTGCTCGGTGGCCAGGAAGGGCTTGGCAGCCAGGACCTCCTGATCCAGGTGCTGCAGAGCTGGTCTCAGCTTGCCCATCAGCCGATCTAGCCGCTCCTGGTCCACAGGCTGACCCGAGAAATGGGGCAGGAGGGACTGGGCCGGGGACAATAAGAGGCAGCTTACCCCGGGCTCCTCCGAACATCCCAGGCACCTGGCCATCCCTCCTTGGCCTCCAGCCCTCCCTCCTAGTGACACCCCCCGGGCTCTGTATTCAGAAGGATTCTGAGGAGTGGATCAGACACAGGAGAAGAGGCCTGTGATTACGGATGTCCACTTGGGATGGGGTGGGCGGCTTGTATGCCCACCGGTTCCTTCCAGCCTGGGGGCTCCAGCTCCTGCCCAGGCCCGCACGGTAGGGCAGGGTGGCTCACCTTGCATAGGTAGACATTGGTAGCAGGCAGCTGGACGGCGGTGTGTTGCCACGCCAGGTACTCGTCCACACGGGCCCGGGCCTGCAGCTCAGGCGGGTACCAGTGCTCTGCCGTCTGGTACTTGCGGCTCAAGTAGAGAAGGATGGCCACGCTGTGGACCCGGGGGGTGCGGGGTGGAGGGCGTCAGAGATCTCCCCACCCTCAGCGCCAGGCAGGCTCCCACAAGCAGGGTGATTTGACTGCGTTTCTCTCCAAGGCCACCTCCAGGGGAGGAAGTCCCCATCCCCTCATCCGCACCCCCATTCCCCTCCATGGTTGCCCCCCCCAACTGCTCCATTCCTCAAATGCTCCCCTGTCAGCCCACATTGCCACCCCCCTCCCTACCATTACCCCAGCCAGCTCTCTGCCTCCAGGCCCAGCTTGCTGGCATCAGGGTCTTACTGAGCAGGAAGGGGAGGAAGGCCGCCTACCATGGATGCCCTGCCCAAGGGGTCTCCAAGTTCCCTCCCAGGCCAGGGCCTGGAGCCCGGGGAGGGGATGGAGGAGTACCCCGCCCCCAACCCTGGGCTCCTGGTACTTTGAGACCAGTTTCTGTTCTCAGGCAAGTCCCAGGAGGGGGGCTGTCATGTGACTCCCCCATTTTACAGAGGAGAAACCTGGGGCATGGAGTTCTGTGACCTGTCCAGGCCGAGAGCAAGGATGCGAGGAGCTGGGATTCAGAGCCCAGTGCAAATTGGGGGCTCTCAGGTCCCTGGCCCCTGTGGTTGCAAGGCCAGGTCCGGGACATCTGGGGAGGTCCAGCCTCAAGCTTGGGTCTTCCTGACTGGCTCCAGCCCCTTAGTCCAGCCCCCTGCCTCCAAGCTGGGTGAGCTAAAAGGAGGAAGTGGGGGCTTCAGGTTTCTGCTTTCCTTCCTTCTGCTCCCCCAGCCCTGAGGCCTCTGAAGACCCCAGGACCCCATTACCTCTCCGCCAGCAGGAAGTCCCCATCTCTGAGGGCAGGTACCTTCCCCAGAGGGTTCACCTTCAAGAATTCAGGCTTCAGGTGCTCCCCTGAGGGGTGGAGACCATGAGTGGCTCAGCAAGTTCGGGCCCCTGGACACCCCCTCCACGGAGCCCAGGCTAGTCAAGGCTCACCCCGGCCTAGCTCCACAGGCCGCAGCTGGAAGGGAATGCCATTTTTCAGGGCGAAAATGTAGATGGCACGACAGGGGGGTGAGTACAGGTCCAGAAACAGCTCCGGCGGCATGGTTGCACCTCCGGCTGCCCTCACCTTCTCCACTCAGGCCTGCGTCCAGGGCTTGGTTCGGCCCCTCCAAAACGGGGCCTGAAGAAATTCGTTAGCCTCGCTAAAACCTACTTCCTCTGAGCTACGTACGAGCTGGGCGCCCTGCCAAGCCTCCCCACCTCCTGGCCTCTGTGGAATGGAGGCGGGCTGGGCACCCTGCCAAGCCTCCCCACCTCCTGGCCTCTGTGGAACAGAGCCGGGCTGGGCACCCTCAGTCTCGCCGTGCCCCCTCACCCAGTGTGGCCACACTCCCCAGCCTTGTCCATTTGCCTCTTGGCCTTCCTCTTGGACTGTCCTGTGTACTTCCAGAACCCAAGTCTTGAGAGGCTGAGGGCTGGGCTGCAGGTAAGGCCTCCATGGACCCAGAGAACAGTCATGGGTGGGTTGGGATTTGGGAGCTGGGGCCTAGCACCCACCCGGGCACACGCTAGCAGGGTGGGTCATGGAGCAGGTAACAGCCAGAGCAAACCTGAGCCATGGACTCCCAGGAAGCTGCCTCAGCCTCATTCTGTGGCCTGAGGAGGTCAGAGCCACTCCCTGGCTTTCTTGACCCATGCATGACCCATTGCCATGCCTTCCCCACTTCACAGGAATTAAAGTCTCCCAGGCAGGACTTTTAGGGACAAATTCCATCCTCTACAAACACACATACTCATAGGACATGTGACTTGGGCAGGTTTGTCCCCACCCTTGGTTTCAAGGACAGTTTTCGGCCTGGCCCAGCTAGTGAAGACCCCATAACCTTTGGCCACTCTGACTGGACCAGGTGGTCCTAGGGCTGGGGCAGGAAGTTCTGGGAAGGAGGGACTGGGACAAGGCACAAAGCTGACCCCCGCTGAGGCCCATGTCCTTCCCAAGGAGAGGCTGGAGAAGGAGCACAGCTCAGACTCTTCCCCAGTGGAGAGGTAGAGTGGGCCCGGGCCGCCCCCAGGAGCCAGGCTGTCCAGAGCCAGCCTTCCTGGAGCCCAGACAGAAGGGAGGGAAGCCAGGCAGGTCAGCAAGCTCAGACTCGGCCTGCCCAGAGCCATCAGCGAGCCCTGGGCCCAGCACCCCAGGAACTGTAACTCAAGCCTGCACAGAGATCCTCCAAGCCAGCTGGGTTTACCACATTGGACAGGGGCCACTGCCATGGGTAAAGGGGAAGAGTGAGAGAGGGGAGGGATAGACAGAGGGAGAATAACCTGGAAGTAGGCTGGGAAGACAGAGGGAGGAAGGCAGCAAGGAACTCATATCTTCATGTACCCATTCATTTATTCATCTAGCAGAGAGTGAGACTCAGAGACTCAGAGACAGACCAAAAACAGTGGAGGGAGAAGAACAAGGGTAGGGAGGGTAGGGGACCAGAGAGGAGACTTTCTTATGTCTCCCAGCCTCCAAGCAGGACCTATAATGTCCTCTGTGAGGTCCCCAGGAGGGATTGACAGCCTGCACCAGGACCTTTGGGACGAGGTTGAGGGTCCCGGCACAACCCTGCACCCAGGATACCGTCCATTCACTCTTGCCATGCCACCTGCATGACCACCCTTCCCAACACAGCACAGTCCTGGGGTTCATGGGCAGGCCAGTACTGAGGCTTTGATTCTGGAGACACCAGCACAGGAGGCAGGGAGAGCCAAGTCATGGACCCCACCTGAGACCTAAGGCTGCTACAGGACCTGAGGGAAGTCAGGGAGGGATCCCACCTACCCCCTTCCAGGGGCAGGCAAGAGGTGGGGGTGGGAAGGTTCTCCATCTGTTGAACAGAGATGGCACCCCCCGCGCCCCCTAGGCAGGGTCAGTGGAGGAAGGCTAGGCTACTGTTCTGAGCTAGTGGATTCTTCAGCACCATAAGGTCCGCCAACATCACCTGGACTGGAGACCAAAGCTCTGCCTCAGAAACTTGTCTGTCCCTGTTCCTGGCACTTCCTCCTGGGCACCTGCATACACATGAGCAGAACCAGCACCTGTCGGGTGGGGGAAGGGGGGGGCTCAGTCTGCAAGCCTCCACTCTCCAGCACCTTGGCCCTGCTCTCACCTATCATATTCCCTGATCACCCACCTCACCTGGGTCCATACGGGCATGCCCAAGGTGGCCTGGGCACCATCATCAGGCCAGCTCGAGCCCTCATTCACGTGGTCATGGGCCTACAGGCAAGATGGCATCGGTGGGCCACCATGTGGTGTTTGCAGGCAGGGAGGGGGCAGTGGACTTGAGGACCTGGTACCCAGCCATTCCCACTGCCCTCAGAAGCCTGCAGGCCCCTAGCAGAAGTCTCTGCCATTGATAGGTTCCCCTTCGTGCTGTCCTTGCCCCGGCCATCCTGCTCCATGCCCCCATCCAGCGGTTGGGTAATGCCCCTAGCTGGTCACATACCTGGGCAATGACAGTTCCTGGGAACTAACACCCCACCCCTCAGCATGGCTCCAGAGCCCGGTCCTCATCTCACCGTAGTGACCTTGGCCTGCCAGCATGCCCTTCACCATGCCCAGCTATTGGAAAGCCCCAAACATATTCCACCTCCCTGCTTCCAGCATTAATTCAAGTCCTTACCTCTGCCAAGACCAATTCGGGATTCGAGGTCACTTCCAGAATCTCTTCTGTCTCTCCTCCTGGCAGGCAACCTGAGGATCCTGCTACCCCCCACCTTTGATGGTACCCAGCGTGGCTAGTCTAGCTGTGGCCACCGTCCAGGACATAGTTCTCACTGACACTGAACTCAGAGTAACTCTTCAACTCTACTTTCATTTACTTCTGATATTTTATTGCAACGTCTGTTGAAAGCAAAACCATCCAATTGTGAACAAAACGTAGCTGGTGTGGTTCTAGAAGGCACAGGCTGCCTCCAGCCTCAACCCTCTGGGGAAAGATGAAAAGGGTGCAGGAAAGCAAGCAAGTGTGAGGACTCTCTGAGAGGGAGGCCACCGGCACAGGATCTAAGAGGGAAGACAGCCACCAGGAACTCCCAGGGCAGGACAGATGTGACAGGGGAGCCGCTCAAGGCTCAAGCCAGGAATGACACAGGATGGGTAGAGCAGGGGCACAAAGTAGGAGGCCGGAAAGATGAGCTCCAGTGGCGAAGGTTAAGGACCCCATTTATTGGTTGGCAGTGACATCTACTGTCACCTCCAAGAACTGCAGCCACATGAGCCATGTGACTTAGTATGGAAGGTCCTGAGAGACTGGGACCCTGGCCCTGTCCTAAAAAAATAAATCACTTGACAGAAAAACAGACGTTGGCAAATGGAACCGTGAGTAACTTCAAAGTGTTGTGTGCTTTGACCTGTGCAGTTTCTGTTACATAAGTGCAATTTCCCAAAAGTTTTGGGTTGAGGCACATGGTTGATAAGAAGCCCTTAGTTTGTAAAACAGGTTGTAGGCCTTGTGATGATTAAAGACGCAGCGTTCTTTCCTCCAGAGACCCCCACTAGGATGCTAGCGAAACCAAAGAGTTAACAGGGTAAGTAGCATAGCTCAACTCTTCCTCCCAAACTGTTTATTCTCTGTCACCTTGTTTCTGTAAGATAATATTCATGTTTGACAGCAAATGTTTATTTGTTTTGCAAGAACTCAAGGTTTCATAAAGAAGAAAACAGAACCTAGGACCACTGACTTCCCCCTCGGGCACAACAAAATGAAATTGACCCTCCCACACTCAGCAACTTCCCGAAGCTGATCTTGAGTCACCTGACTCTTGTCCCCTTTACCCAGACCCTCTTTCACTGGCCTTTAAAAATCCCTGACCTGGGGCACCCAACCTTTGGCTCGGGTCATGATCTCAGGGTCCTGGGATCAAGCCCCACATTGGGGCTCAGTGGGGTGTCTTCTTCTCCCTCTGCCTCTGCCACTCTCCCTCTTCTTGCTCTCTCTCTCACTCTCTATCTCAAATAAATAAAATCTTTAAAATAAGTAAATAGGGCAGCCCGGGTGGCTCAGCGGTTTAGCGCCGCCTTCAACCCAGGGTGGGATCCTGGAGACCAGGGATCAAGTCCCACGTCGGGCTCCCTGTATGGAGCCTGCTTCTCTCTCTTCCTGTGTCTCTGCCTCTCTCTCTGTGTCTCATGAATAAATAAATAAAATCTTAAAAAAAAAAAGAATCTGAGGTTTTTTCCTTTGTTCATTTGTTTTGTTTCTTAAATTCCATATATGAGTGAAATCATATGCTATTTGTCTTCCTCTGTGACTGATTGCACTTAGCATAATGTTCTAAAGCTCCATCCATGTCTTTAATAATATTCATATAAATATGTGTGTGTGTTATCTTCTTTATCCATTCATCTATCAATGGACACTTGGGTTGCCTCCATAATTTGGTTGTAGTAAAAATGCTGCAATAAACATAGGGTTGCATATATCTTTTTGAATTCATGTTTTCAGAGGCTTTTCAGTGGCTCAGTTGGTTAAGCATCTGCCTTCGTCTCAGGTCATGATCCAGGGTCCTGGGATCAAGCTCCACATGGGCCTCCCTGCTCAGTCAGGAGTCTGCTTCTCTGTCTCCTTCTGTCCCTCTTCCTTGCTTGTGTTCTCTCTCTTAAATAAATAAAATCTTGAATTAATGTTTTTATATTCTTTGGGTAAATACCCAGTATTGGAATTACTAGACCATATGCTGGCTCTGTTTTTAACTTTTTGAAGAACATCTGGACTGTTTTTGCAGAGTGGCTGCACCAGTCTCTGCATCCCCATCAACAGTACAGAAGGGTTCCTTTTTCTCCACATCCTCACCAACACTTGAGAAGGTGTGAGCCTTGTCCCTTGTATCCTTGTGTGGAAGCCTTTCGAATAAATGCTTTCCTTGCCACACACTCGATGTCTCAGTGATGGGCTCTGCCGTGTGTTGGACAGGTGAACTTGGGTTCAGTCACACTAGCATAAAATAGAAAGGTGTACAAATAGGAAGAAAGGAAAACAGGAGCAGGGCTTTGGTGGGCATGCGTTCAACAACTGAGAGATGAGATCTAAAGCAGGGATATGGGAAGGAGCCCATCTACAGGCCCACAGGGCAGACATACGGGCTACAAGAAAGGGGCTCAAATGGTTGAGCCCCCAGAACGTCTCAGGGAAGCCAGCAATATCCATCCGTATCCCAAACACGATGCTTGGGTATCAGGGCCCTTCACAAATGACACAAGAAGGTCACAGGAGAAGAAATGCAAATGGCTCCTAACACTTGGAAAGTGCCCATTTTGGGTTGCCTGGGTGGGGCTCAGGGGTTGAGCTACAGCGGTTGATCTGCCTTCAGCTCAGGCTGATCCTGGGGTCCTGGGATTGAGTCCTGCATTGGACTCCCTGCATGGAGCTTGCTTCTCCCTCTGTCCCGTGTCTCTGTCTCTGTGTGTTTCTCATGAGTAAATAAAATCTTTAAAAAAATTACTGTAGCTCTTGAAATATCATCTATATTCTGTAGTAGTTTGCCATTCTTTTTTTTTTTTTTTGTCATTCTAATTGATTTCTGAACATTTTGTTGCCCTAGTAACAATCTTATATATTGACTTGTTATCTGTGAGGTTACTTTGGTTAACTATGAGGAGTGTTACTGGACATACTTTGATTATATACATATGACTGTGTAATAAAACCAATAATCAAGTGTCTGAGTCTTCACTATATCTTTTTAAGGCTTTATTTATTAGAGAGAAGGAGAGTGTATGCAAGTGGGGTGAGGGCAGAGGGAGAGGGACAAGCAGACTGCACTGAGTATAAGCCTGATGCAGGACTCAATCTCTGACCCTGAGATCATGATCTGAGCTGAAATTAAGAGCCAGACACTTAACCAACTGAGCCACCCAGGCACCCTGAGTCTTCATTACATTTAAAAGACCAAAATAAATAAATAAGTAAAAATAAAAAATAAAAGACCAAGGAGGGGATCCCTGGGTGGCTCAGCAGTTCAGCGCCTGCCTTTGGCCCAAGGCGTGATCCTGGAGTCCCGGGATCAAGTCCCATGTCGGGCTCCTGGCATGGAGCCTGCTTCTCCCTCTGCCTATGTCTCTGCCTCTCTCTGTGTCTCTCATGAATAAATAAATACAATCTTTTAAAAAATAGAAAAAATTGAAAGTAAAAGACCAATGACATTTGTTGATTTTGTTCTTCGTGCTGTTGAATTTTCAGAGCTCTTTATATATGGTGGATTTTAGTTGTCTATTGATTAGAACTCCTGCACATGAGAATAAGCACTGCCAAGGACATCAGGTGTCCTATGTGTGCAGAGCTCCTCCAGGAGCCAGAAACAAAAGACTAAGGCCAGATGGAAAGAATTGAAAAGGACAAGTAGGAGACTAAGAAGGAATCTTTATTGCTAATCTCCTGGGCTACAACCATCAGCTCCCATTCCAGACTCCTCAGGGAATCCTGGAAATACGAAGCAGCATATAAGGATAGACTTCCGGGGCAGGGTCCGGGATCTTTTTGTTGGCTGCCTGCTCCAAGATGTTCAGGATGAGACCACGGGCCTCCTGGCAGAGATCCGTACCCAGGAAAGCCTCCAGTCGCTCACGCCATGCTGCCAGTTTCGGCCGTCCCTCAAAGAGGTCAAAGCCAACAGCCACAGGCTGCAGGGACAAACGATGGTAAGGTTACAGTGATCCTGAGGCCCCAATGCCAGGACCACTGGCACAGGTGTCAGGTCCCTTTCCCACCCCTTAGCTGAGGCCCAGCGCCATGTGGCCAGTCTCGGCCCAAGAGCACCTGCGTGAAACACCACACACAGGAGAGAAGCAGAAAGTCAGAGCAAAAGCACCAGTTTAGACAGAAACCTGCTCTGCAATTCTGGGCAAATTCCCAGCTTTCTCTAGGCCTCAGCATTTTTGTCTAGTGAGGGTGGCAACAGGAGGGATGCTGCCCACAGATGCTGCTCCACCGGCCATGCTCACACCTGTATCAGCTCCTCCAGTGCCATGAGGTCGGCCAGTGTCACGTGCTGGCCTGTGAGGAAGGCCTGGTCCCTCAGGAACTTGTCCTCTAGCTGCTGCAGCGCCCGGTCCATGGCAGCCCTGTTACGCTGCACCTTCTCCTCAGGCAAGTGGACCCCAATGAGCGGTGCCAACACCTGATGGGCAAAGGGTGGGCTCAGGTGTGGTCCCCACCCCCACCCCCAGGTCCCCGGCAGCCAACACCCGGCAGATGGCTCTCCTCACCTGAGTCCAAAAGGGCACGCCGAAGGTGCCACGGATGCAGTCGGCATGCCAGCCCAGGTACTCATGGATGCGGGCACGGGCCTGGAGGTTGGAGGGGTACCAGTGGTCCGCCGTCGGGTACTTGCAGCTCAGGTATATCAAGATGGCAGTGCTGGGGAGAAGGGAGGAGCAGTGGCGGTGAGGATCCTGGGTCCCATGCCTCAGTGGGGCTCTGGGGCTCCTCTGGGCCTCCCCCACATCTACAGCTCCCTGGGCACTGCCTCTGGTCTCCCCCAACTCTGCCCTCCCGTGTCTCCGTCCTTGGCTGTCTCTAGCATGGATGCTTGGCCAGACCGTCTGCTTTGCCCTTTCATTCCTGTGATACAGTGGCAGCCGCCCTGTGAGCTGGAGATTTGTCATCCCAACTGCACGTGAGGAAGCTAAGGTTCAGAATAATTAAGTGACTAGTCTGAGGCTCAGAAAAGGCTCTCTGGGCCTCTGGAATCTTGCATCAAGGCCCCTGCATGTTCAAGTGTATGGGCTGAGGCCCAGGAGGGGAAGCATGTCCTCGGATCTGTCGTGGGTCCCCTCTGACAGGTCCTCGGGCCGTCACGCCTGTAGTCGCCCAACCTCTTGTCCTCAACCTGCCTGGTGGCTGGCCCTGAGGTGTCCCCTCAGGTCCTGGCAGACTCTGGAGAGCAGCCTGAGGAGCCAGGAGAGGCCCTTTCAGCTTCTGTTTGTTGAACCTGCTCTATCCAACTGGACAAATGTCCCCATGTCCTCTTCTAGTGCCCTTCAATCTGGGGATGGGAAGGCCCTGGGGTCCAGAAGGAGAGGCTGAAGACAAGAGGGGTAAGAGCGATGCTGCGTCAGCCCCCATACATCCTGGTCACCCCCAGCCCCAGCTCTACCCTTCCCTTTGCCCTCGCCTGCCCCATGGGGTCCGAGAGGGCACAGGGCAGGCCAGCCAGAGGCCAGGTGGGCTGGGGCTGGGGCGAGGGGGTAGGAAGCACTGGAGGCAAGAGGGCGGGGCCTGGGGGGGAAGCACCTTTCGCTCAAGATGAAGTCCCCATCCTTGAGGGCAGGGACCTTGCACAGGCTGTTAATCTGGGAGAAATCCTTGCTCACGAGCTGCCCTGTGGAGGAAGAAGTCAGCAAAGCTTAGAGCCAAGAACCGAGGCTCTGTGCTCTCCCTGTCGCCCCCAGCGGGCCCTGGGCCAGGCTGGGCCTCGGGTCAGGGGTGAGGGCGGCCTCCCTGCCCCGCCAGGTCCCAGGGCAGCTGAGGGGTCGGGGCGCAGGGGGGTTAGCTGACCAGGCCCTGGGAGGGCAGGGGGCAGGGAGTCAGAGAGGCCTCCGCGGTTCCCACCTCTAAACTCTCCCCTGGTGGCCAGCTCCCCAGGGTCTTTAGGGCCTCAGGACTTTTTTTTTTTTAAGATTTCATTCATTTATTCATGAGAAACATGAGAGAGAGAGAGAGAGAGAGAGAGAGAGAGAGAGGCAGAGACACAGGCAGAGGGAGAAGCAGGCTCCCCGCAGGGAGCCTGACGTGGGACTCGATCCCTGGGCTCCGTCCAACTGCTGAGTCACCCAGGTGTCCCAGGGCTTCAGGACTTCAAATACAGGCTCTCAAGGCAGGAACTGTGAAAATCCAGTTCAGCATTTACTCCTCATTCCATAGAGAAGTAACATTATCCTCCTTCTCAGAGTGAAAGTTAAGGTTCAGAGAGTCCAGGCCACACAGCAGAGGGCAGTCTCCAGTGGGAGATACCAGAGAACAAAGGCAAAAGAAATGCAGATAAAATCACATTTCCTCACAATTTGCAGCCCTTCCGTAAAATACCTGAGACGGGCAGAGTGTGACTTTCCTCAAAGAATTCACAACTGCCTTAAAGTTAATGCTTTGCTAGAGGTAAAAAGCAACCTAACCCTGACAATACCAGACCTCCAGGATCCTCTAAGTCTTCTTTGACCTACAGAAGTCCCTTTAGGGACTCCCTTTATCTCTACACGCCACCCAAGTCCAAAATATATCATCAGTTGCACCTTATAAACCCAGAGCAGCCCTTTCTCCATACGGTCCTATCCCCGTGCTTTAATAAAAGCACCTTTAAAATTTATTTATCTATCTGCTATTTAAATATCTAAATCTATTTATTTAAGAGAGAGAGGGAGAGAACATGAGCAGGAAAGGCAGAGAGAGGTAGAGAGAATCTCAAGCAGACTCCATGCTGAGCACAGAGCCCGAGGTGGGGCTCAATCTCGTGACCCTGAGATCACCAGGTGAACCCAAACCAAGAGTCAGATGCTTAACCCACTGAGCCACCCAGGCGCCCCAGTCACTGACAGTTTCTGAATTTCAGAGGGTTCAGGTACAAAAAAGTTAAATGCTTCAATGTGTTCACAAAGGAATATTTTATCCTATTTCTGTATATCACGGATATCTAAAAGTTTCCTTAATCTGGAAGAGTAAAACAGAGAAGCAGCAACATTTCAAACAGGAGTCACCAAAACTATAATCATCTTCCTCAGTTCTTTTAGTCCTGTTAATTCGTTCTCAGTTTGAATGCAGCTTTTTTAGTTAGTTCTGGAAATTCTTACCCACTTTAGCTTTATTATGATTTTAAAGAAATCAAAATCCTGTATTTATCCAAAGCCCTTCTAATGACTTAATTTAACACATTTTGCAAGAGCACCAGAACAATAACCATAAATGACAAAGACTCAAAATGAACACGGCTAAAAATTCGATAGGAGTTTATTATTAGGGATCCCTGGGTGGCGCAGCGGTTTGGCGCCTGCCTTTGGCCCAGGACGCGATCCTGGAGAACCGGGATCGAATCCCATGTCAGGCTCCCGGTGCATGGAGCCTGCTTCTCCCTCTGCCTGTGTCTCTGCCTCTCTCTCTCTCTCTCTCTATCATAAATAAATAAAAAAGGAGTTTATTATTCGTGTGTGTGTGTGTGTGTGTGTGTGTGTGTGTGTAATACTAGCTAACAAGGAAAACCAGTTACTTCTGTGACAAATAACACCTCAGTAATCACAATATCAAGTGATGGTCTTATACCAACATATTAAAACTTTAGGAATTGTGTATAATCTCTAGAAAAGCACTTACCCAAACAACATAAGCTAAGGCTTATCGTTATTATTTTTTAAAATAATGCTTCTCGAGTAAGCTAACGAAGCACATGGGTAAATAGGATTACAGATCATTACAAAACTTATGTAGTTAACCAAGGTGGCAGCAAGAGATTCCAAAGGCGGGGCACCTGAGTGGCTCAGTGGTTGAGCCTCTGCCTCTGGCTCAGGTCGTGATCGGGGATCCTGGGATCAGTCCCGCATCAGGCTCCCCGCAGAGCCTGCTTCTCCCTCTGCCTGTCTCTGCCTCTCTCTGTGTCTCTCCAGGATCACACCCTGAGCCCCTAAGCCTAAGGCAGACACCCAACCGCTGAGCCACCCAGGCGTCCCTAAGCCAACAAACTTAAATTAGTGTGAATACCACCCGCTTCCACTCAGAAATCAATCGACTTTCCCCACTGTCCATTTCTACCTGGGACACCGGTGGGGAAATCTGAAGTGGGTGGTCTAAGTCCAAGGGGGTGTTCCTCACTCCTTGGCAGTGAGGGTAGGAGCAGGAACCAGTGGCGCCACAGGCACAGGATAGTATAACAGCCAGTTTGGCAGACAGCACCCAAGGTGGTAGAGAAACGGGGAGAGGGAGACAGAAGAGGTGAGGTGCCACCAGGGAGGCTGGAGGCCAGAGGACAGAGAAAGGACCCCAGTTCTGAAGCTCATCAGCTCAGAGAGCACACATGTTGGTGGTTTTCTCGCCACTAACAAGTGAAAACAGCCAGTCCCACGTTGGGCCAGAGGAGACAGGGAGCTTGCCTGAAACAAAAGGAGTTTCAGCACTGCTTGGGAATATTCCTTAAAGTCCCCATCCCGAGACAGACTAAACAGAGACAATTCGCTCCAATTATCATAGCCATTAACCCAGGAAATGAATGAGCGAGAAGCCCCCTCCACCCCCATACAAGAATAACCGGGGTCTATTAGGAGAACAGTGAGAGAGTCAACATCCCTTCATCACAAATGGCCTGGGTTTCCTCCAGCAATCTGGGTTTATTAGGAGGAGGAGGAGGAGGAGGCCTGTTTAGACAATCATGTATCCAATATATTGGGAGGCAGCTTGTTAGCCTGGTTAGCAGCCAAACACGTTCTGTGAGAGGTCCTTGGGTCAGGTTCCTGATTTAGGGCCATGCCTACCTCCATCCATTTGCCCTGTTTCCTGCAGAAGAGATCTAACAGATCATACAGAAGTTTAGTGTCCCATTAATGGGTCATTTTTCCTTCTCTCTAAGGAGTACGGAGGCCATGGACTATTACAGAAGATCAGACTTCTTTTTCTTAAATCGTGCAATCTGAATAGTTTCCAAGGGGTTAAAAAAAGGCACCCCAAAGGAGAGTCCTTGGGAAGCGAAGATCCCATACTTCTAAAAAAGGAGAGAAAGTCCAAGGAACCCAACTCCCAGGTATTATATCACACAGGATATGTCAGCAGTTCCTGGTGTCAAAGAGACCAGAGGAATCCTTTGAAGGAAATGATTATGAGCACCACCCAGCCCTATAGAATGGATGCTGGCATCTCCCCTCCCATCTTCTAAAACCCTGTTTCCAAAAAGAAAAAAAAAAAAAACCCTGCTTCCCTATTGCCTACTAGGCTACAAGTAGATGCCATGACTGGACTCCAAAATATGGAGCCATGAAGAACCCGCCTTTTTTTTTTTTTAAGATTTTATTTATTTATTCATGAGAGAGAGAGAGAGAGAGGCAGAGACACAGGCAGAGGGAGAAGCAGGCTCCATGCAGGGAGCCCCGATGTGGGACTCCATCCCAGGTCTCCAAGGTCACGCCCTGGGCGGAAGGTGGCGCTAAACCGCTGAGCCACCTGGGCTGCCCTGAACCCACCTTTTTAACCCCTGAGAAACACTAGGAAAATCTTACAAAGTGAAATGACCCGCTTTCATATTTAAATAGTAGGGGACATTGACGGAAAATAGTTAAGATAGAGAGGCACCATGGCCTAAGCAACAATCCAACACACGTAGTCTTTACAGACAACTTACCTAGGAAACGATCCCCCGTTTTTTTTTTTTTTTTTGTGTGTGTGTGTGTGTGTGTGTGTGTGTGTGTTTAAGATTTTATTTATTAGAGAGAGAAAGGGAACTGAGGTAGGGGCAGAGGGAGAGGGAGTTGTAGACTTCCTGCTGAGCTGGGATTGGGATGCGGGGCTGGATCCTGGGACCCTGAAATCATGACCTAAGCCGAAGGCAGACGCTTAACCAAAAGAGCCACCCAGGTGCTCCAGGTTTGATTTTGTTTTGTTTTGTTTTTAAGGAGTGCGCAAGCACGAATGCGGGGAGGGGCAGAGGGAGAGGCACACTCCCCGCTCCAGCTTAGGTGGCTGTCCCATGCCAAAGAAAGACAACTTTGAATAATAATAGGAATCATGAGGGATCCCGGGGTGGCTCAGCGGTTTGGTGCCTGCCTTCAGGATCGAGTCCCACGTCGGGCTCCCGGCATGGAGCCTGCTTCTCCCTCTGCCTGTGTCTCTGCGTCTCTCTCTCTCTCTGTGTCTATCACAAATAAATAAAATCTTAAAAAAAAAAGAGTAAAAAAAAATATAATAGGATTAAAGAGGGGACACCAAGTTTCTAGATCTTATTACAATTCCGGCCAGTGTACTAGCTTCCAGCAGAAAGGCAGGTTAGGGATGCCTGCGTGGCTCAGCGGTTGAGCATCTGCCTTCGGGCCTGGAGTCCTGGGATCGAGTCCCACAACAGGCTCCCTGCATGGATCCTGCTTCTCCCTCTGCCCTCCCCGCCTCATGAATAAATAAATAAAATCTTAAAAAAAAATTCTTGGGATGCCTGGGTGGCTCAGTGGTTGAGTACCTGCCTTTGGCACAGGGCATGATCCTGGAGTCCCTGCAGGAGTCCCACATTGGACTCCCTGAGGGGAACCTGCTTCTCCCTCTGGCTATGTCTTTGTCTCTCTTTCTCCGTGTCTCTCAAGAATAAATAAATAGAATATTAAAAAAAAAAAAAATTCTTGAGGGGCGCCTGGGTGGCTCGGGTCCTAATTGACCTCTGGATCCTGGGATGGAGCTCCACCTCTGGCTTCCTGCTCAGCTGAGACTCTGCTTCTCCCTCTCCCTCTGCCGTTCCCTCTCGCTGTCTCAAATACATAAACAAAATCTTTTAAAAAAAATTCTGACCGGTGCTGCCCGGGGGGCGGGGCGGGGGGGGGGGCTCAGTGGTTTAGCGCCGCCTTCGGCCCAGGGCGTGATCCTGGAGACCCAGGATCGAGTCCCACGTCGGGGTTCAAGAAGTGATGAGTTGGGATCCCTGGGTGGCGCAGCGGTTTGGCGCCTGCCTTTGGCTCAGGGCGCGATCCTGGAGACCCGGGATCGAGTCCCATATCGGGCTCCCGGTGCATTGAGCCTGCTTCTCCCTCTGCCTGTGTCTCTGCCCCTCTCTCTCTCTGTGTGTGTGTGACTATCATAAATAAATAAATCAAAAAAAAAAGTGATGAGTTATATACTTTTAATTTGGGGGAGGGTAAAAACGAAGTTTCCAAAAGGTTTTTCTCATGTTAAAGAAGACTTACGGGATCCTGGAGGTCTGGCTATTGTCAAGCTAAGGTTGCCCTTTATCTCTAGCAAAGCAGCAACAAGGAGACGGCGAGCGTTCTGGGAGGAAGGGCAGACGCGGCCCGTCTCAAGCACTGGTCAAGGGGCTACAAATTGTATGGAAATTTAATTTTAATCTACATTTGTTTTGTCTTTGTTCTCCTCCGGGAGGCTACGGGGGCTAGGGAATCCTCTGGAAGGTGCGGAGGCTGCGGGGCCAGGGCCGGGGCCGGGGGCCGCGGAGGGGCGGGGGTTGGGGGCGGCAGGGGTGGGGGAGGGGGCAGCGACACCACAAGAGCCGCCCGGCCCACCTTTGAATATCTCCACGGGGCGCAGCTCGAAGGGGATGCCGTTCTTCTTGGCGAAGATGTAGACGGCGCGGCAGGGCTGGGACAGCAGGTCCAGGTACAGCTCCAGGCCCATGGCGGGGCGGCGGGGCGGGGGCGGCGGCGGCGGCGGGCGGCGGAGCGGGCGGCCCGGGTTATAGGGCCTGCGGCTCCGCCCCTCGGGGCTCCCCCCGCCCTCGGCGGCGCCCGCGGGGCCCGGCCCGGCCCCGGAAGGTCGGCGAGCGACGCGCCTGCGAGTGCTGCTGCGGGCGCCGCCGAGGGCGGGGCGGGGGTGCGGGGGGAGCGGGCGGCCGGCGCGCCGCAGTCAGGCCGCGCGGGGGTCGCTGAGGTCCCCCGGGGGGTGGCGCCCTGGCGGGTGTGGCCCAGGCTGCCGAGAGCCGGGGCTGGAGGCAGGATTCAGGAAAGAATCGTCCGCAGTGGGAGCTGCCCACCCGCAGGGCTGCCGTGGTGCGAGCTGCGGGTCGGCGACGGTGGGAAATGCCCGGCTTGCGGGCCGGGGGGACGACAGCCCAAAGCTAAGCGTCCCTGCACCTTCTCTTCTCGACCCTCACCCGCCCCTGGATGTGATCCCCGAGGCCGCCCCGTGCGGGCCCAGGGCCCGGCGCCCAGCTCTAGCCCGATCTGGGAGGAACCCATCCTCTGGGCCCCGACCTAAGCAGGTGGCTTCAGAAGGCTTCCCTGGGATATTTGAAGTTGCGGTTCAGGAGAGAGGAGGCGAACGTGGGCTTCCTAAGCTGGGGCCGCCCGCGCGTTGCTCTCGATTTCAAGCTCAGCAGGCAGGCTGGCCTGAGAGCAGGCAGCTTAGTCACAGAGAAGGAGAGTTGGGAAGAAAACCAGCTCCTGATCCCAGTTCCCCTGTGGGCCAGCTGTACCTCTCCTTTATTGACAACGGAGTTTTACAGGAAATCCCTCGTTTGCCCTAAACCACTTGGAACTGAGTTTCTGTCCCTTCTAAAGAAAAGAATCCTTGGGCAGCCCGGGTGGCTCAGTGGTTTACAGCCACCTTCAGCCCAGGGTGTGATCTTGGAGACCCAGGATCCAGTCCCACATTGGGCTCCCTGTATGGAGCCTGCTTCTCCCTCTGCCTGTGTCTCTGCCTCCCTCTCTCTATCTCTCTATCATGAATAAATAAATAAAATCTTTAAAAGAAAGAAAGAAAAGAATCCTGGCAGTCAGCAAGGAGGGTCCAGGTGCATAGTGGCAGAAATTTAGATAAATTATGGCCTGCAAAAAAATAAATAAAATAAATAAATAAAATAAATTATGGCCTGCAGGTGTGTGGAAGGCAGACTTTGTAAACCATGAACTTGGATATTTAGTTGAGATTTCCAAACAAAGTGTTCAGGGAGTGTGGCCGGTTTCTTCTTCCGGCTATCAGTATAATATGTGAGCAGAGAGATTGAGGGAAGAACTGTCAAGCAAGAAAACTGAACCTGAACATGATGATTTGAGGGAATCCTTAGCCTATTCAGGTTGCAAGGACCCCTAAAATTAGGAGGCTCACTATCAGGAAAGCACAACTCAGCCTCTCCTGGAGGTCACTGATGAGTTTTATACATGCACACCCCGGCTTCTTTGGGCTTGAAGTGTGTGTGCTGTATACAGGGCCGGGGGGGGGGGGGGTAGGGCAAAGTGAGGGGATATATGGTGGTGTTGGGGTGGGGCACCTATACGTGCTTGCTGAGAGTATGGAGGGCATGGTACAAAAAAACCTGAGTTTAAATCCTGACTCTGTCACTCAATAGCTACATGGCCTGGAGCATGTTATGAACTTCTTTGAGTCCTGGTGTCCTTTGCTATCAAACGTGCTAATTCCTCCACTCAGACTCAGGTCTGTTGTAAGACATAACTTTCAAAATATCTATATAAAATCACTGAGCCCTGTGCCTCAATTAGATGTTAGCTTCCTTCTTTCTACTTGTATTTTTATCGCTGCTTTTGTGTTTGTTTTTTAAAGATTGTCTTTATTTATTCATGAGAGACACACTGAGAGAGAGAGGCAGAGACACAGGCAGAGGGAGAAGCAGGCTCCATGCAGGGAGCCCAGTGTGGGACTCGATCCCAGGACCCCAGGACCACGCCCTGGGCCGAAGGCAGGCGCTCAACTGCTGAGCTACCCAGGCGTCCCTTTATCACTGCTTCGTGTGCTCATTTTCATATTGCTACAAAGTCCATCATCTACTTGTAATTCCTTCAGCATAATATTCCATCAGGTTTGTATATATCTCATATGTGGGCCCAATAGAGTGATATTTGTTATGTCACTAAATTTGACTCCCCAAATAGGCACATGCGTCAATCTTTCTACCTTTTGTATATGACACCCTTCTCCTGACCGGCACCTGCACCCACTTCCTGTCCTCCTTGCTACCTTGAAACTTCCAACACTGTGACAGTGCTCAGTCCGAGCCCCGAGATCAGGCCCTCCTCGAAGGAGCTGTTCCATAGCTCTGGTCTAACAGGACAGTGAGGGGTTGAAGAAAGCAAACTCCCAGGCTTTGGATGAGATAGGCCTGCAAACGGCCATTTTCAGCTTCTGTGTTGAAGCTCCCCATGAGGCAAGGCCCAGGTGAACTGGGTACAAGCCTTTAGAATCCCCTGCCGTTGAAGTCACACAGGGTATGCTTAATTAGTCCCAACGATGAGCTGTGACAACGTGTGTGAGATATTGCCAACTAGAGAAGCTCATTAGAGACTGTGCCCAGGGCTTTTCTTGGGGGCTTTTCTTGATCCTGTGCCTGGCACATGTCCAAATTCCAGACTCCCAAGAGGAAAGAATAAACCATATTGGTTGGACCAACAATTTAGGTACAGTGAGCTACTCTTGATGGTCTGAAGTTAATAATGATGGGAAGCCTCCCAGAATATACCCCAATGGAGAGCCAACCTTGAAAGCAGACCTTTCAAAAAATAGCAATCAGGCCTGTTATATTAACTTTTCTGTGCAGTCTACCCCTCAGTCCTTGGCCAAGGTGTCTTCACAGCAAAATTATTATCAGTAGAACCCCACACGACTGGATGAGACCAGTATGCAGTACAGATCTCAGTTATGCCTTTTTTGGGATCCTGGACTTAGCTGATCACAAGAAAGCCCACTAACCATCAAGACCATCTTAATATGCTGGATAGTTTCTTCCTTCAGTTTTTTTTTTTTTTAATGTATTCACGAGGGACACAGAAAGACATTTTTGTATGACTTAACCAGAAAGATATATCATGTTATAGAAATGATTGGGTTAAAATCCTGAAGTTGTGACAATTTCTAATGGGTTTGCATAACCTTCCACCCCGTTTGTCCTGATTATGTAACCAGTCCTAGAAAAGATTAATCTTTCTCTGACAACAGCTTTTAAGACATACTGCCATCCTACTGTGTGTGTACCGGGGGAAGGGGAGAGATGGAGAGTCAGATGATCAGGGTATTGCTGCCCTCATCCTGAAAAGCCATCAGACAACAGCAGTGAGACATCCCAGAGAGCAGGTCGGGAGTCCCATCTGGGCAGAGGGGTCACAGTCCCTGCGATGTGCCCTTCCTCAATTCCCAGCTTTTGTGGGATTCACAGGTGAGGAATGGGGTCAATTTCAATACACAGCAGAACAGCATATGGTCCAAACAGAAAATAAGCCCTTTTGTGCAGGCATGTGTTTGTGACCCAAGTCAGGGCAGCCAGCACCCATGATGTTTTCATAGTTGTTAAAAAAGAGACAGCAGACCCAAAAGGGACTCACTCATGCTGAACCTCACGTAAGAAAACTAAGACTTAAATATCTAACCTAATGGCAGCTTTGACCACCCTCCCAATAGTGTAATCTTTAACTACTTAGTATGGAATTACATGGTCAGCACTAACAAAATAATCTGCCCAGTGGACCTATTCTGTCCTCTTTAGGAGGTGTCTTCACCGGAAACAATACATTTTTGGCATAATTTCCTTTTTCTACCTCCTTTCTGCTTTTAAAACCCTTTCCTGGGCAGCCCCGGTGGCGCAGCAGTTTAGCGCCACTTGCAGCCCAGGTGTGATTCCGGAGACCTGGGATTGAGTCCCTTGTCAGGCTCCCTGCATGGAGCCTGCTTCTCTCTCTGCCTGTCTCTGCCTCTCTCTCTCTCTCTTTATGAATAATAAATAAAATCTTTTAAAGATAAAAAAAAATAAAAAATAAAACCTTTTCCTTTTTTAGGTGCACCTGGGTGGCTCAGTCAGTTAAGCATCTGCCTTTGGGTCCTGCTCAGCGGGGCGTCTGCTTGTCCCTCTCCTTCTGTCCCTTCCCCACCACTTGTGCACCCTCTCTCTCAAATAAATAAATAATTTTTTTTTAACTTTCCTTTTGGGACGCCTGGGTGGCTCAGCAGTTGAGCATCTGCCTTTGACTCAGGGTGTGATCCTGGGGTCCGGGATCGAGTCACACATCGGGCTCCTGTGGGGAGCCTACTTCTTCTTCTGCCTGTGTCTCTGCCTCTCTCTGTGTCTCTCATGAATAACTAAATAAATAATTTTATTTTTATTTGACTTTGCATGAGAATAAATAAAATAAAATTTTTTGTTTATTTATTCATGAGAGACATAGAGAAAAGTAGAGACACAGGCAGAGGGAAAAGTAGGCTCCCTGCAGGAATCCTGATGTGGGACCCGATCCCAGTACCCAGGGATCACATCCTGAGCTGAAGGCAGATGCTCAACCACCCATGCATCCCCAACCTTCTTTTTGTATAACTAGCTGGAGCTCTTTTCTACTTGCTACTTGGGATGCTACTCACTTCATGAATTGTTGAGTAAAATCAATTTGATCTTTATATTTATGCAGTTGAGTGCCTGGATGGTTCAGTTGGTTAGGCATCCACCTCTTGATTTTGGCTCAGGTCATGATCTCCAGGTTATGAGAGTGAGCCCTGAGTGGGACTCTGCCCTGGGCAGAGTGCCTGCTTAAGATTTTCTCTCTCCCCCACCCCATCTTGCGAGCTTGTACACACATGCATGCTCTCTTTCTCTAAAAAAAAATAAAAAATAATGAAATTGCAGCCTAGGGGGCAAGATAAATAGCCTCTGTTAATTAACAAAATATATAGCATGCCTGACACACATTGCTGAGATGCTTTGCTGACCCAGACCAGGGAAGGGAAACAC